TCATTAATAAAAAATTGAATTCATAGATTATGAATCAAATAAAAGTGAATAAAGCTTAACCTTAAATGAAATAACTCGTTATAAATATAAATAAAAGTAGAGCATACAAGTATTGAAAAAATTTTTGCTACATTGCAAGGTCTTTAAAATAACTATAAAATATTTAATGACCTAATTGCAAAAAAAGTAACTCGCACATGTTTGCTATAACTCGCTGATACCTCTAACGATGTTCAACTTGTCACGTATTTTGTCCCAATTTCAACTCATTTTTTTGCACACTGCATATATAGATATAAATATATATACAGATAAAAACTGAAAACATATCCACAGTGATGCTATGACTCTAGTGGGATAGCAATTTATTTTATTCAAATAAAGGAAAAAATTGTAATGATTACTCTTTGTAACATAACTACAACAATTTTATGAATAATTTTATATTTTTAATAAAAAAATTTCTAAAAAATGTTATCATCTGCATTTTATAGTACATGTTATTGATAAAAATATTTTGATGTTACTAAAAATTCGTTATGAAGAGTAATTATTGTCGTTATTAATTTTATTTGAATCTTAATAACTGTTTCTAACACAGACTAGCAAGTTATAAAATAGCTCAACGATTTAACGTCATATGTCACTTGTTGACTGTCACATGGATGACAATCACGTGACATACCCTCTTCTTAAACGTCATGGTACCTAGTCTTTATGCTAATTTAAATAGCTGTCTTAGTATCAAGTAATTTAAAGCTACTTTTCAACAAAGAATCGTTTTCTTTCATTATGTCGTTTAATAATCATTACTTTTTTTTAAATAAAAATTTAATTAAAATATAAATACATTCAACTATGAGTTTTATATTAATTAAATATGCATTTATTTTTTTTTTTCTACATGACAGTAGTTATTGCAATTTTAATTGAGATAAAAATTTTAACTTTTCAAACTCGCTTCTTGTCAATTATTTATTATTTTTTGGTTGATTTGAATGTTAAAAAATTATTAAATCGTAAAGTTGACAGAGTAATTTCCCCGAGTACCTTAAATTACAAAAGCAAAGGTTAATCAATGATCTTGATTGTTTGCGTGAGATTTGCAGGTTTAGTACAAAAAAAAAAATTCTCAAAATGATTTTGATCAGTAACTTGACACGCTCTTAGTACATATATGTATATACTACCTATGCACTTAGTTCCGACATTTAGGGTGTCACGTGTTGGCAGAAGTAGCACGTAAATTGCTAATTCCTCAAGTAAAGAAATTGTTTTGAAACTTTGTCTTTATTAAACAAAATTTTTCAAGCCAACAAAGATTATTTTTTTAGTCATTTTACATTTTCGATAAGTTAATTTGTATTATTTAAACAAAACCTTGCTACATGTTCGTGCATTTTTCAAATAAATTGCTTATAATATTTTAACTCATATTTATTGTTGCAAAATATAAGTTGTAACTTGTGTTTTTCAAATATTATGATAGTAATTGAAAATAAAAACAAGGAAAATATACCCTCGAGCATTTTTTCACCCTCACAAAAGGTAGAGGTTTTATCGGTCTTTTCACGTAATTAATCACAAGTTAATTAATGCCTACCCTTCACTCTCAGTCCACAAAAGTAAGAGGAAAAATTAAACTCCTTGTCTCTCTGAACTAAAAAATTTATTGAAAATATACGTTAAAAAAATGAAATTGCTTCAATTATTCCCCACTTCACTCGCTGAAGTTGAATTTTCATCTATAAACTTTCTCCAATTTTTTTTATTTTCAATTTTACAGCAATCTAATCAATGAAACTTTCATAAAATATACGTTTGTTTGACGTTAAAACTTTCTAAAGCGATTTTTTTGCATTTACCTATGATTTATAAATATTCTAAATATTAGCAGAATTTTTCAATTATAAAAAAAAACTGTTTTAGTATTTTTTGTCTATAAAATTGTTGAATAAAAATTGTCTATAAAAGCTCTTTTTAATGAAACGAAAAATTTGTCTAATTACTTTTTACCAATGGAGTAATCTTGTTTTACAATTGACATTAAATAGATAAGTACGCATTGATTAGATTAAAAGAAATTTGTAACAAACATGTGAATTTTTTTTCATCTATTCTTGATGTAACTTTAAATCACGATTAGTACAATAATATTATTCATTTTTTTACAGTTTAAAAATTTAATAAACTTCATAACTAATGAATATTTATGATAAAAAAGTTCCCAAAGAATCCTTCAATTGAATCAGTTTTTTTGGCTAACTTCAACTGAATACTTTTATCTCAATCTTTAATTTATCTTGAAACAACAAGTGATTCTAACTAGCTCAATAAAATAATTAAAATCATAAATCACCAATCATTATCATGACATTGAAAAATAAAATTCTTCTCGAAAAATAAAATAAAAAAAACTATTTCAAGCTATTAAACTTTTAGAAAAGTTTTCAATAACATTATAGAAACAATTCAAGTTCATTTTCAGTTAATAAATTCTTCATTCTGTCTCATGAAAATTTTTTAACTTCAAAATAATCCAAATAAATCATTAATGTAAATATTTGCCTTTTCCTGTTGGCTCCCGATAAATTTCATCACACAGAGGATGCAAATGGATGCAATGCGGAGAAACGAGAGCGAAAGGAGGAAGACACAGAGGTATAGCATAGAGGCAGATAGTACATGGGATAAATAGCATCTAAACTCTACTACATATACTGCACGAGGCGCATCCGACATATTCGACTGCGTCCCTGTATGCGCCGAAAGTGGGGATGACTAGAGGACAAAATAATAAGAGTGGGGAGAGCACTTGCGTCGCGGGATAACAGTCTGCGAGGTGCAAACCCAACGCGAATTCGAAAGACCGTCAGTCTGTGTCCGCGCGCCGGCCAACCAACTTTAAGGTGGTTGTATTTTATCCATTCTTTCTTTTAAATCCTTCGAAAGTATCAAACATCACGCACGCGATGCCAATCAAAATTCTTCAAGTTTGCAAACGTTAACTCGAGGTTTTATTTATTCCATCCAAAACTCAAGTTATAAAGTGTTTTTTTTTTTTCTTCATTTAAATTTCCGTGACAGAATATTTTTCAACAACTACATCATTTGGAGAATAAATAAATAAATGAAATTGTGCTTAAATGAATTTAAAAAAAAATGTGAGTTTGGAATTCACACTATTTCAGATCTTCTTATCGATAAATGACCGAGAAGTCAACGAGTAATCTTATCAAATAGAATAAACAGTCTCTGTGTCGTTACATTACTTATCAACACAGGAAAAAATATTTTTTTTTCATTTGATTCGATTAATTGAATCATTGAGGAAACAAGTAAATGGAAGAAATGTAGTCTTGCAGCTGTCCTCATCCCCTTAACTCTTTCTTTTTCTTTTATTTTTTTCTTTTTTTCGTGTAATCTTACTCTCATTATTCAACACGGCAGCTGTGGCACGTCGATAGTGCACCTTTACTTAAAAATTTAAAAGCTCCTTTATCATCTGTCGTCTATCATGAATATAAAATTACTTGAAATTTTTCGGAAAAGAAGAAAAAGCAATAAAAAAATTTTTCTCTCTTTTTCCCTCTCGATGTTCTTAAATAATAATTCCATTTTTTAAAAGTAATAAGTAATTCAATCCGATATTAGAAAGACGTGATTACCAGGGATATAGAGGAGAGGTTAAAGTGGCAAATAAGGAGAGTACATGAAAGTGGATCCATCAGTAAAATATTCTTTGACATACTTCTTAGAATAAAAAAGAAAAGAAAAAAAAACAAATAATTACCAAATAAAAAACAAAAAGCAATATCATTTTTCGATTAAACAAAAGAAAAAGTGTTGTAGTCATCTTGATCATATTCACCCTATCTCCAGGAACAGAAAGTAGAAGAAATGATGTTAGAGAGGGAGAATAACATAAGGAATATCTTTTCGTTCGAGCCATTAGGGAAAAAGTCTTAAAGATAACGTGGAATGAAAGATAAAGTATAAGAACGAAGAAATAAAAAAAAAAGAGATCCGAAAAGTCGTATTCTTCGAAATCACATTTAAATGACATTTTTTATGTATGTTTTATTTTCTTTATCTGTTTTTTTTTGCCCTTGATGTAAATAAAAAAATAATGACACAAATAAACGAGATTTACTTTTCGGCATAATAAATTTAATGTAATTATCCGATGAACTTGCAGGTCTCGTGTTCGTAATTTAAATATATGAATATCCATTAGACCGCGTAAATCACATGAGAGAAATGCTTAATCACTGACAGTCCCGAAAATTAGTGACTTTATCTATTTTTTTATAACTTGCATAAGCTTTACTTCATAAAGCTTCAAGTGAATAATTATTCTTGATGAGAGCAAGCATTTTTTGAGCTTCTCGTGAAAATTTTTCAATATAAAAAAAAGTTCGTCAAAGCTTTAGTGAATATTTTTCAATTAAAAAAGAAAGTGTAAAACAAGTAAAATAAAAAAAAAATTATCTTTAATAATAGTGTCCAGAGAATTTCTTCTTTTCATTTTTTTCACTCTTTGTTAGACAGATATTGAGGACAATTACTGGGTAATAAGATCAGAGTATAATCCCTTGATTGCACGGAACATAAAGACACTTAAACGCGCGTTCATTACAGCGTTAATCAGCTCGTGCGACGAGATAACGATTACCATCCTCGTGGGTGCTGTTTTTCGTCGCCTCGAGGCGGAAAGGACGTAACAAAGACGAAAAAAGTGATCGTTAAATTACGAATAAAATTATAGACAGAAAATAAAACACATTGAAAAAGTTGTATATAAAAAAATTCAATACTTCGTGACACGTGATCGCTTAGATTGAATAATTTCATTTTAATTGAATAATTGAATACTATTTATCGTTTTAATAAAGTGATATAAAAATCTTAATTGACTCATTATAATAATTTGAACAAATAGAAAATATTCTTATTAATTTCATTATTAAATCATTTCAATTAAAAAAGTAAAAGTTAATTTTCATTATTTTTTATTAACTTGATAAAGTACATTTTAATAAATGGTGTTAATTTTCAAGAGATTTTAGCAGTGAATAATTGAATAGTTTTAAAAATAAAATTAAAAGCTAAGTCATGTTATAATTTTTTTGCATTTCTTTTTGTGTGAAATGAGTCGACAATTTTTCAAGTTTGAAATTAATTTTTGTTCGTATAGACGAAGTGTAAAATCGCGTGATTAACGATTTGAGGGTGACTTCTATTGAAATGAAAAGCCTAAGAATCGTTCGAGTAGATCACGAGGTAACCATTTACGTCCCTAGAGAAACGAACAAGTTTCTTGGCTTGAGAGAAATTTCAATAATTACGCGGTCTGAAGTTTCCGGCGAGCCATGAACTTCGACCTCACTACTCGACAGCTACACAGAGATTCTCTTTCTCACTTACTCCCCCGAGACCAGTCCTAGTGTGTTGTATATATAAATTATTGTAAAGTTTTCTTATGGCTGTGGAAAATTTGAAGGAAATGAGAAATCAATAGTTATTAAAAAAATCTTATGCCCTATCTTCAATCATTAATTTAGAAAATTTATATTAATTTTACTATGAAGGAAATTTTGATGAACTTTATCAAAACTATTTACTCTATCTCTTTTTTCATTTAATATGAATAAATTATTTGATATTTATAAATTAAATACTTTAGTTGCGAAATAAAGTTTCAATTATTAATCAATTTATTTTTCAATAACAAAGAAAAATGAAGTATAGAGGTATTCAGGAATGTAATAAAAATTCAATTGTGTACAAAACTCAGTAAACATGAGAGTTGACGATAACACATAAAATGAAGGAAAAGATGGAAAAAGAGATTTAACAAGAATAAAGTACTTTAACCTGAAAATTTGTATGTAATAAATTAGTAAAAATGTCGTAGAATAATTTTAAAATTCCACGGAAGGCGTGAGTTCACGATAAAACAAACTCTCGATGGAAATACGAGTTACGTAATTCGAGAGTGTGCTCTCGCGATTCAAGTATGAAGAGTTTTGCGTGTTGAGAAGTTGGAGGTTGCATTTCAGAGTCTCCAAGCAAGTCTCCGAATACAAATTAGTATAGTAAGGAGTCTATTCCTCTTACTAGGTACTTTCTATATAATCTTTTGAATTTTTTATTCATTTCAGACTTTCTTTTCATCGTGGAGGAAAAAGTAGATGAGGATCATTAATAACAAGAGATCTATGATGCGCCTGAACTTTGAAATAGTTACCAAACCACTCAACCAACACAGTCTTTTACAATCTACCAAAAAATGATTACAAGAATATCAAAAAATATGTAGATATAAAATAAGGAAACTTACAATTTATAACATTTAAATAAAAACAACGTTGACATTTAGACAAATGGATCCAACGTACGTATTTCTGAGGAAAAAAAAATGCGAACTTTCTAGTCTTAAATTTGATGATCGAACAAATAACCAGAATAATTGAAATAATCAAAAATAAAAGATTTTTAAATGTTTAAAAAAATGTAGAGATATATCTTAGATGCATGTAAAATAATTCAAGAGTTTCTCTCTATCTTGAAAAAGTTCTGAGAGGAAAAGAAAGATAAAGTAAAATGGGAGCAGCGAGACTTTTTCTTGGCAGTGCAATTCTTGGTCTCTTCTGGGGTGGAATACCACGAACAATTGCCTCAGACACCCTCGATGGAATCTGCGAATCATCCCCTTGTGTTTGTGATCATCATGGGAGACTCACTTGTGATTGCGAGGACAAATCTGAGGTATGTTAAAAAATTAAAAAAAAAAAAAACATTCCCTCACTTGTTATTTTATTACTTCCACTTGAATCTCAGTCTAATAATACTGAGTAATAACTATCACCCCTAGCACATCATGAAAAAAACTAGCGAAAGCTAATGAATAAAAAATTATGAATAAAATGAGAATTAAATGAATGGTGGAAATGTGATGAATTAAAGCATCTGAATCTGACAAAATGCCAGAGCTTTAACCCAGTTTTTTCTTCTGACACGTATGTTCGTTTTATTTTTTTGACAACCACAGGCATGATTTTTTTAAACTAGTTTATATATACTCCATAAGAGAAATATGCCTGAAGCTTCTATTATTTTTGCACTATTCTCACTACCCCCTATTTTTTTTCGTTTTATCATTTGATCTCTCATCCTCAAAAATTCTTCCTCGACACTACTTTCATTTCATTTTTATTATTTTCCTTTTTTACGTGATTGCCAATTCGAATTTCGATTGTCTCGTTTGGTAGCTTGTCACTCAAATAAATGAAAAGAAATATAAAAAATATTCGAATAAAATTCATTACCAATAATTGATGAACTAGACAAAAATTTAATTGAAAAAGAATGATAAAGTATAGAAGCAATGAAAATAAATTTCACCCTTTACCCCAAAAAATGAAAAAAAAAAAACAAAATATCAACTAACAAGGCAAGCGAGAGCTTTACACTAAATCATCAAACTGTCCGCCTTATAAAGTCTCAAGTTCTCATAAATAACATTGCGTTTACGTAAATCTTTTGGCCAGAGGGAGTGCAAAGAAACATCAAAATTTATTGCTATTGTTTACGAGTTTATTTTTTTGTCCAATAATAAAAGTAACATGGAATAAACTGTGCATCTAATAGTGACTTTAAAGAATCAATTGGCCCGAATACAAAGTAGGTAAAGAAAGAAGGCTATCATGACACGATTATATTTGACTTTAAGACGAATATCCTTTGAAATACTCACTTACAGAAAGCCCGATAAAGGGTAGATTTTAAGAGTGAGTCGTTTATTTTCGTTGGCGACGGACATAATGGGGGTGGCGGAAAGTCTTCGGTGGTTCCGTGACGTCGTAAAACACCAGTATAAAACCCGCACCCGTGACGGAATAAAGCCATAACTACGTGACATTCGTTGTGTTTTTAGTGATCGAAACACCTGTCACGACATAAGAGCTATTTTTATTCAAAAATCCTCTATTTTTAACTTATTCATTTCCAGTATTTTAATTCAGTTATTTATCCATTTTCATATTTTATTGTTACCATATTTTACCGTTGAATATTTTCGAAAAAATTAGTTTGAAAAATATTAATTTAATAATAATTAATTTTTTCAATTAAAAAAATGCATTTTCTTCATTTTTAACGCTTTGTTAGAATTACTATTCTCTTATGATTGCAATTTATTTAATAATCCACTGGAGTAATTAAAAATGTAAAAGTGGCATTAAAAAGCTTATTATGTCATCTCTAAAAAAAAACGACAGACAGCGAACATTTTACAATTAATTTTTCTTTATTTTCAATTTAACGACAGACAGGAAATAAACTCAATAAAATAAATAAAAAATAAAGTATATTTTTTTTTAGCATTAAACACCTGCCTTTGGTTTAAATTTTTTCTTATTTAGCCGAAGGGAGAGCACGAGTCGATATAGGGAGTGAAGTTTAATATATGCGAGCTCGTAAAGCTCGATCGCTGAATTCCGCATAATGCGGTTCGTGTTTCACCAACACGCACGGCCAATTTGTCGCGACTACGAGGGTGATCGTGACTTGGAATACGTTCTCTAAGTCGAATAGGTACCTCATTTTTCTCTCATTTCATCTTGTTCTTTTATTCTCTCATTTTTTTTTACCCATCTATTAATACAAACAAGAGGTGAAAATTAGTTTGAAAAGCTATAGCAATAAAAATCCCCGTAATAAAAGCCACTTGTTCATATGTTCAGTTTATATATAGTCTAGGTAAATTATTTTCAAGCAAGTTTTTAAATGAAACGTCGTAAATAAACAATTCCATGGGACAAACTATTATGACTACATACATATATAGGTGTATATACAAGTGTATAATAACAATACAAAAGAATAGAAAAGAGGGAGTAAGCAATGCTCTCGCAAAATTGTTTCGCATAAATCTTTTATGGATCGTAAAAGCATGTTCGTTCCAACATTTCTGTACTCTTGGAAACGATGATTCGTACATCGTACCATTAGAACCACTATATTTTTCCCTTTATCTTTATGTATTTTCCTTGTGTGATTAACGTTAACGTTTATAAAAATTTTTTTTCTATTTTTTTAATCCCTTCTATTAATTTTTATTGCTATTCAGTTGATCGATTCTCGAATAAAGATACGTTTTATGCTGAAAAAAAACTTTTACGCTGATAACTTTTATTTACTGCATCGAAAGACATCAGTAGCAATCAAGATAATTAATTCCTCAGATAAGAAATTAATTTCAATATTCATTTAAATATTTTTAAAGCATTTTTTGTGTTGATAAAACATTAAACTAAATAATTTCCAGAATGATTGACCTATTTTTGAAGAAAAGTAAATGGAGTTTTTTGTCAAAGAATTCAATTTGAATTTCTTTAAGGTAAAATTCAGAAACGTTTGCAAATAAATAGTTGCTAGGAAGATCTAGGCTATTTTCATAGGCTTCGTAAGGTTAAAAGAAGGATAGAGAGAAAGAACTCTGGCAATAATATTCAGATTCTCGACGTGAGCACCCACGAAAATTTATTGCACCGTCCGGACGTGTACGTGCCTTCAAGGCTTTGCCAGTTCTTCGTTTCTCTTCTCCTCTCCTACACCCATCTTAAGCCTTTACCAAGCACACTACCATGCTAATAAAAATGTAAACTACCCGAGGACGTAACGCAGAACGAACTTTCAAACTTTACTCTGTAACTCTTTCATCAATCATAAACTTTCCACCTTCTCACAACTGGTACAATTACATTCTCAACTATTGCTATTCTTACTTATATATTATTTGACTCTGTCACGATTTAACTCATGTAAACCGTCATAAAATCTCGCTACTTAAGATAAAGATAATTCCTAGAACATATTCTATACACCTATCACGTATGTCTAAACATTCAACATATGACTCATTGCTAAAACAATTAACATTTTATCTTTTCATCATTTGTTGATCTCATTTACACATCATATTACTGAGAAAAAATCATAAATTGTTAATTGATAAGTAAAATAATATTTTAAAGAATGAAAACAAAATTTTTTTTAATATTTGTTAGCCAAGAAATATTAATTGATGAGTTGTTTGGTAATAGAGTAAATAATTATCAACTCAATTGTATTTTTCGAGTGTCAATTATCAATCAACTACACTTCTAATTGTTCTTGGCAAACACTTAGATCGTTTATCTAGCCAATAATGGCCCTCGTTATAGCACTCAAATTAATCACACTGATCCACTTCACTTGTACAGGAGCTGATCCTAAAAGCGGAGGGTGAACACCGATTGAGTCCACATACCAGCCGGATAACGATTAAAAACTGCCCATCAGCAATACTGATGAATTCCAGCCTATCATCAATGAGTGGTCTAAGGTCTATTGAGTTTATCAACATCTCCAACCTAACTCTCTTCACTCAATCCTTTGAATTATCATCGAAAACATCGAAAGCAATTATTTCAATTCACTCAGCCAATATCGACGTTCTTCCAAGTTTCGTTTTCAAGGGTGATATTGATTCCATCAGTTTCGAAAATGTTCACATTGGATTAGTGAGTGCTTTTGCCTTTGCCAACTTAGCAGGCACTGATACATTAAGATTAGAAGACTGTCAAGTTGATTTAATAGAAGAGCAAGCATTTAAAAAATTCGACGTCAACTATCTCCACATCATTCGTGGTAATTTTGGTAATCAAGTACCAAGTCGAACAATGAACGACCTTGAAGTATTTACTACCTTTCTATTAGATGGAGTGACAATGGGAAATGTACGTTCATCAGCATTTGTCATTAAAAAACCTAAAACTGTTTCAATACAAAACTGCCTCATTGATTCACTAGAAGAAGAAGCTTTTGAAATTAGCACTCGTGGTGCCGTTCTGATAAAAAATAATCGATTTAATAATTTAGCAGCTGGAGCTTTTTTGGGAATAAAAGCCGATACTGATGATCGTCTTCCACCTCTTGGATCTACACTTCCAGAAATCAGTTTTACCAACAATACTCTTGACAATTTTGAAGAAGGTTCAGTTATGTTTGATCGTAGTAGCTTCCGACCAGTTATAGACAATATTTTCATCAATAAAACATGCGACTGTGATCATATGTCAGCATGGAAAAATAACATTCTAAACTATAGCAATGTTTATACGAAATTTTACACTGGAAATACATTACTTCAAACAAATTCCCTCGAGCCAATTGAAGAGGGAACATTTTTGTGTTCAGATGAAACAAGAAATATCATCACATTCCGAGAATTTAAACAACAAAGCTGTACTTTAGGGAATTCAACAATGTTATTTCTACTACTTCTAATTGGACTGCTCTTACTACTGATCATTGCAATCGTTTTGATCGTTTGGTGCTGCCGAAAACATCGAGGACATGGACAAAAGCGTTGGATGAGTGTTCCTACAACCGCACCAGATGTTGTATCAAAAAAAAACGGAGTTATTGGACGTGATGGATCCACTTCAAATGCTCCAGTAGATTCAAGGATAACCATGGTTGTTCCTGACGGACGACTTTATCGTGAGACTGAATTTCATGTTATTGTTGAAAAAGCAGAACCACTCACTACAGAATTGTAACGAGAGCCTTCCCGCGCTTCAAGCTCCAGGCCGAGGAATTATCGACCACCAGAATTTGGATCTGAAGAGCGCGAGTGTCGTGTTTACAAATTGTGAAGTGATTAAACATTAAAAGATAAAAATAAGAAAAAAATTAACTCAAGCAGTGGTGATGATAATTGTGATGGAAATTGTGGAATAAAAGACTGGGTGAGACATTAAAACACTGTGAGAGAAGTGAAACAAAGTGGGGACATGACCCACTGATAGCTTTAAGACTGTCATAAACAATGAAATACTTAAGTGATTACCCTTTAGTACAAGATTCTTAAGCCTCTACATATCAGAGAGGTTGTCGATTTCAATAAAAGCTTTGTTCATACTGTAAGAAATGATTCTCTGAACCTTGAAATAATAATCTCTAATTTTTTTTTGATGAAGAAAGAAAGCATATATATATATATACATATAAATATAAATATACTTTTATAGAGTCAATAGGCAGTAATTGACCCACTTAATTTGCTTTCAATGTTTTACATTTGTAAGATACGTAAAAAAATATGAGAAATTCATTTAAAATTGATCATTCCCACTTTCCCACTTCCCAAAAATTCATGATTATTTAATTTAAATTTTATTATCATTTTCATTATTTATGACGTATTTTAATTGTTTCTTAATTAAAATTAGTCCAACAAAAAAGTGTAAATACATTACGTAAGCAAGCTTTCGAAATGAGCAACATAATCGTGCCACAGATATACAAAAAAAGTTTAAAAAAAAAGCGGAAAAGAAATGAATTATTTATTTATGTTGATGCTAAAAATTTCTTGACATATGATATGTCAAGTTTCACTCAATAGTCAAAAAGTGAAATTAAATTAATAAAGCTTTTACAGAGATAAAACTATTCAAAATGAGGTAAAAAATAGAATAAACTTTTTAGAAGCAATGTTTAAAATTTTTCATGTCCAAAAATAAATTAACTAATTGTTACAATATGGAATAAATGAATAAAATACGTGAATCTTAAATGAAATAATATTGTAATTTTTTAAAACAAATAATGAGATTAAAAATTTTTTTTTACAATTATAATATAAACAAATAATAGATCAAATTATTTTAATAATAAATCCAGGGCAATAAAGATTGAAAATTTAATACTTTCCAAAATATTCTAAAAAGGTTCCAAAAAATTGCATATCATAAATCATTTAAAGTAATGTATAATGAAAATAAAGTTTTTAATTACAAAGAAAGTTAATAGATAATTCATGAATCAATCTTCCTTCTAAATAGACCAACAAAAAAAACTTAAAAAGACTGCTAAATAATTTCGTTGGAGCAAAATCCTAAATAATTAATACCCGTTGAAATATTAATTTAGCATATTTGAGGTGCAAACTTGGTTAGATTTATTTCGATTAAACATAAAGATTACTCTTGACCTTAAAAAGATGAACCGAACGGTATATGATTAATTGATTGACTCTAACCCAGCTAATTAATAGACTAGTTAGAGAGCTAGCGAGTCTAGAGCGAGGGATTGAGTTTCATGACAAAGATCGTTTAGTTTTTAATTATAACACTGTGATATAAGACTTGAGTCGACTGTACAATTTGTTTTACATCAAGAAAACGTTGATCAACCGTTAAATAAAGATGAACGCTAATTAAACGGTAATACACGTTGTGTCTTGTTCAATCTAGATTACGAACCCCTAGGATGCACGAACACGACGCGATACGTGAGGAATTGTCCAAGCGAACGAACGAACGAACTGAGTCGATTACCAACCGAGTAAGTATGCAAATGCAATAATGATTACCTAGCAAATACCATGAACGCTTACGTGAGGGTTTTCAATACTCTTGAGTCTCTTCAGAATATTTTCAAGCGATCTACTACATTTTCAATTCATAATACTTCTTCATTCTTTTCAATATTCGTACGATGAAAGGAAAAATAGTTTCGTGGAATAAAAATTTTGATCAAATATATTCTTTTTGTTAGAAAAATTTATCGTGATATGCTTAACAATAAGCTGCCAATTCATTGCTATAATACAAGAAAAAAGTACTTGCTTTTTTTAATACAAAAACTTATGAATTTACAATTCATCAATGAAGTCATAGCTAAAATTATAATGATGACTTTGGATGTTTGTAATAGGCAAACTCCGCTTATCGCGAATCTTTTTATAAGTAAAGTTTAGAAACGCTAAATGCATCATGTTTTGAATGTGAACATTGTTTTTTTTTTGTTCGCTTTATGATGTTAAGTTTGAAATTAATTTCACAGCTATGAGAGAATTAAGATATTTTTAAAGATTAGTTAAGAGAGTGATGCTTAATAAATGATAAGTAATAATAAATTACTTTGGAAATGTATTATCAAACATTTACTGTTTAATTATTCAATGGAATAAATCTATTTTCATCAAACCATAGTGCATTAATTTTCAATGATTTGTTGATGAATCCAACAGCTAACAGCGATTAATCATTTATTATTTTTCATTTATCTTGATATTGGATTTCGTGCTATTATAAATTTCAATATGAAATCTAATCAAATTAAATGACTCCAATATCTAAAGAATCATTTAAAATTGGAATTTAATCTTTTGAGAAGTTAAAACGAGGTTATTGATCTCAAATGCAATCGCTAAATTGTTCGAGTTCAGAGAGTATTAATGTCGACCATTTGGTTAGACGACGACGTCATTAAACTACGCCGACACAATCGCTTGCTGTGACCGAGGCTGTATTTGACGTCGTTGTGGACTATGTCACGAGGTTACGCGATTAGCTTAACACGACAGCTAACTATGATTAATAATATCAAACAGTTATAGTGTCACACTTGTATAGATAAATCGCAAAGTCTCATTGCGATAGTTAATCGCCGAAAATTCTGATAAATTTTCAACTTTCCAAGATTAATTAGTTAATTAATCTAATCACGATAATCAACTTGTGGAAGTTTTCATGCATTAAGAAAATTATCTCACTCACCTAAACGGGATCACACCATCCAGGGCCTGGGTCACTGTTGGAGGTGCTGCAAGGGCGAATCCTCTGCTTAACAATGAAGAATGAATGGAGAATATTTTCCGAGATGTTTCCTGTGCAAGCTTCACATTATCTTCCACTTCTTCCACTAAAAAAATTTCCACATGATTTATTCAGATTTAATTAAAAACTTTTTTTCTAGTCAATATCTAATGAAATTATAATTATACATCTTTTTGTGTTATTAACAAATAATTTTATACAATATTGATTTGAATATAATTAAAAGACTTTCAAAATATTAAATTATTTTTCTCGACTTAATTCTTAATTAATATTTATTAATAAATGAATAGAAAAAAGCTTTGTTTGCATTTTTAATTACGAAATCACGTCTTTGCCGGTGATAAAGTTTGCATATCTTCTGCATAATTTTGATTCATAGGAATAAAATGAAGGTTTTCATAATATCATATCTACGATTCTATCAGAATAAAAATAAAAAGGAATAAAACCCCATTGTTTATAAAACATGATAAAAATGAGGAAATAACTCACTTGAAACAGCAGGTAAAATAAGACTTTTCTTCATCAGACTAGCTGCACAAGCACCACCAAGAAACGACAATTCAATCTCTAAATTTTTTAATCCATTGCCGGACGAAATCCAATCGTAGCCGATGATTAAACATTTAAATCCATACGTAACAGACATATCATCTTTCATATAATCTGACGCAGTCTCTAAAGAAAATATCACTTCGTTGCCTGGTAAAACAATAGCATATTGAGGCCATTGTGTTGAAACATTACTCATCTTATGTAATACTGGTAAATAAATAGCATTGTCTTCAGTTTTTCCAGCTCCACTGAAGTTTGGAATGTAAAGTTGAAGGTAATCTTCAGGTTGTGCAGTACCGCATTCAGGAGTAAATTCAATAGTCATCCACTTGACAGATTCAGGAAATGTTACTTTATAATTAGAAACAGTAGCGGGTTTGTAAGGGTGATCACTCTCCAGCCAAGTATAATGATGACTCGTAGTAACAGGAGGGACAAAGTGACTCTGACTCTCACTGTCTTGAGACACTTGAGACATTCCCATTGCAGAAAGAAGATTTAATCCAGCAACGTGAGGTAACATCTCTTGAATCAACGTCAACACTTGGACTGCACTCTTGGGATCTGAAGTAGCAAGTGGACCAAGATGAGCCATCACAAGAGGTAAAAGTGTCGTAACAAAAGTCGCATTACCCAGAACTTCAGTAGCTACGATATCTTCTGCTCGTTCTCTAGCAAGAGCAAGAATTTCATTAGCCCGATGAACGATAGTAGTTGTCATAGTAAGTGTACATTTTCTAGCTTGCATTTCAGCTAAGGCTTTGATCGTATGAGGGCTTTCAGAGTCTTGCGGATTAGAATAATATAGGATGTGTGGTATTTGTCCACGTGTTTGAGTCGTGCCATTGAAACTAAGAGAGCAAGCCGTAAAAGTAAAGTTTGTACCATCTGGTCCACGAACGACGCTCAAACCACCATCACCATTGCTCGTTCTACCACCATGATTGCGTAGTCTTATAGCATACTTAACGTTTTCTTTAATGCTTACAGGTTTGGAAAACTTAAGCTCAACGATGTCGTTCACACAGTCGTCAGGACCAAACGTTCCTCGTTTGAAATCAAGACTACTCCATCTCTGTGTATGAGACGGATCGTTTCCCGTATTATTTTGGTCGTCTAAAAGCTCAAGCTCATAATTATACATCCCAACACCTCCGTAGATCCCCACTCCTGCAATAACTATACCAGGTCTATCGACCGAGAAACAAATAGCATCAGGAGAACCATTTCCAGTATTCCACGTTCTTGTCTGATTGGTACGTGTGAATCTCGACGGGGTTGTGTACATGAATCTACCGCAGACGGCTTGCAATTCATCCTCATTTCCACTAGACTGTGCAGCCAATTCGGCAATTACCCGCGCAAGTAAATAACAGCAGTGAAGAATTAAATTGGGCAGTGAGTAATTCTTTTCACGGCATAAAGTCTTCTTTACAGGAACTAAAATAAGATCCAGAAGTCTATCAAGAACTTCGCGGAAGGACCAGTTTAAAACTTCACGTCCAGTACTTTCAACTTGAGACTTATAGCTCATCTGTTCCACTAAAATAGGATATTGATGAGGTTCTGAAGACTTCATCATTGGCAATCCCGAGTTATCGGAAGGACTTAATTGAGTCTTGATACCATCACTATTGTCCATTACATTACTAAGAATTGGAAAAGTACACCGCAACCTTATTGATGAACTGCACAATGAGTCTAAAACTGCTGATAATAATCGATCCTTTGGTGATGTTCCTTGTTCTTTATCAATCTCTGATAATAGTTCACATAGAGATGTCCATTTCAAGTAGGCAGTAGGATAAAATGCATGATAACAAGCAACAAAAGTCTTATGACATTCTTCTAGAATAAGTTCGATCATTTTATTACTTCCTATTCTATCAATTTTACTACCTTTAATCTTTCCTTTGCTTTTAGAAGCACTTGTTTGTACAGAATCCGAAAGAATTTGCCGAAGTAGAGCACGAACTTCTCCAATACATTCAGCAAGTCTTACAGATTCTTGAGGAGTCTTCTTTCCAGGTTGGTTCGGATAAATTTCATTAGTATAAGTTCTTAAAAGTCTAAGACTGGCTTCACTGATATAAACCAAGTGATCCATCTCCAAAACGGAGTGATGAGAGGTGGACGGTAATCGATGGACCGATTCTGATAATCCAGCTTTTAAAGTATTCCAACTCCATTGAAGTAGAGAAATCAAAGATTGAAAACAGTCTTTTGTTACCGTGCGGCTGAATTCTCTGTGCAAAATATACACAGGTTCTGCTTGGTCTCTTGGCCGGTTAGGAGATTGATTCTCTGGGGTAATGATCTGATACAAAAGTTGAGGTATTTGGCCTGCATTTACATCAGTACCATTATTAGACTTCTTTGAAGACTTAAAGTAGAAGACAACATTATCGTCAGATGTAACCATCGCTTGACCACCAGATCCACAATCACTAGAAGGTCCACTGACCCTTACCCAAGCAACATACCATCGATTTGCTTGTAAAGCTATCGGCTCTTCAAATAAAATTGAATATTTTTGACGAGGCTCACATTCATACGGTATTTCTTCAGTTTCCACCAATAACTCTCCGTCACTCTCTTGATCTCCACCATCCATTCCGATATCAAAAAGTTTTATTTTTGCCATATATTCACCGCGACCTCCAAAAAGTCCATAACCACCTAATAAAATGTCTGTATCTGCACTAAATCTGATAGCTTCAATTGAATGACCTGAGTACCCCCAGCCTCCTCCATGATTTTCAAACCTGTTTACAGTCATAAAATCTTCACGACTATAAATTTTATCGTGATTTGACTGATTTAATTCATTTTCTTCAATAACTGATAATTTTTCATTTTGTGCTTGAGTGAGAGTATCTAAACAACTTAAAAGATGCATAGCAGCTTGAGTTCTTGTTACGAAACAGGAAGAAACAACTGGAAGAGCTAGTGCAGGACTTAAAATTGATGCACTTAAATTAGGTATACTTCGAGCTTCCGTAGTAATAATATTATGAGGACTTATTTCACTTGTTGATGGGTTAAACGTCCAAATCACATTGTAAAGAGAATCTAAACACGCTGCACTCTGAGAAAAATCCACTTGGTCATTGCCATTAAAACTTGTACAACTTCCATCACGTTTGTTTATCACTAAACACTTGAATGTATTCGCGTGCTCAAGATAATGAGGAATTAAGATGATGCAGTTTTTGTTTGCCATCACTGTACTTTTTGATAGGTTGATCGAATTTATTTCATCTACCTTGATGTACGTTTGATCTCCAGCTGCACCAACCCATGTTGCTCGTCTTCCCCAACGAATTCCAATATTCGGTACAATGTTAGGAAAACTATGCCATGGTTGAGATCTTTCGAACTTTCTGCTCTGTGTCATGTTTGACTCATTCCACCAGTTCATGCCCAATTGACCTTTCTGTGAATTAAATAAATAATTATGGCATCATAATAAATGATTGTGACGTTAATATGAATAATGAATAATTTTTATTTACTAACCTGATAAGCTCCAAACGTATAAACTTCTCCTTTATTCGTTAATATAACGGTATGATTGCTTCCAGCTGCTACTTGTGTAGCTATCGCTGGTATTTTTACTTGAACAGGACCCGCATGAGCGATTAAGTCACCCACACCTAATTGTCCATAAATATTACTACCAAAACTGTAAACTTCACCGTTTTGAAGAAGTACTACGGTATGGTGAAGTCCACAGGACACTTGGATCACAGGACTATTACTAGGAATTGGTACTCTAGCTGGAGGGATACTCGTAATTCGTGCTGTTTCTCCTTTTTCAGGATCACTACTTCCAACAACTTCTTCTACAAGACCTCCACCTATTGGAGCTTTTCCTGGCGCACTTTTTCGAGGTAATACACTCGGTCCAACTAAGGAAAACATTATTATTCAAATAATTAATAAATGTAACCAGTCGGGATAAAGACAATTTCTTATATCATTTTATTTACCAGATCTTGGATTATTAGAAGCCTTTATTTTTATTCCTGACCATTGAACAACACTAGGCCCAGCTTTAATTCTCTGGCGTTGTTTTCGCTCTTCTAAACGTCTCTTCAGGTACTCTTTAAAGTTTGATCCAGAACGTCCTAGAAATGAAAAAAAAAATAATTAGTGTTGTTATCACCCGTCGTCACCTACCAGACCCTAGCAAGCTGTTCAACAATTATACATATTTATAAAAAGACAATGTTGTTAATAAAAAACATTTTCACAAAAAAAAATTAATCAATATCTGTTTAAAAAAATATGATGCAAAAACCACGAAACCAGCCCGCTGAAGGTGGCTGGTAGATTCAGACTACCTTCAAACAACATGTGCAATCTCATCATGCCTAAATCTCCACCGCCTGATGGTCCAAAAACTGCCATATCACCACCATTATCACAACTTTCACGAGCGCAAATTTTACAGCAACCACATTCAGCACAACCACTGTCGCCAACGCCACAGCCACATTCCCTAAGTTCAAAATAATTTAATTAATGTAATGAAAACATCTATTGGTAATTACTTTAGGCCAATTTAAATTATGCTCACTGGCCAGGTCGTTTTGGATTCCGATTAGGCACAATACTGGTTAAACAAGATATACCAAAACCCGTGCATTCACGACATACTGTGCAGACCATGCAAGTTCGATGTCTCCATTGATGCTGACCTGGTGGACACATACCTCGAGCCTCTTCCCATTCTTCTCCTTGTTCTCCACTTTCTAGGATCACAAAATTGTATTATACACAAATTGAGAAATTAAATAACACACTACATTTATATCCGCAGTAAGTAAATGGTGCTTATAAATAACTTCATTTTATCATTCTCGTAAAATAATTCACATTCTATTTCAGAAACATGTATATTCAATTGTCAAATGAATATTAACTCAGCTATGAAAATGTTTAACTTTTTCATAATAATGATGAACATTTACCTTCTTCAGCAACAAGTAGTTCATCCTCTCCAGCTCCAGTTTCCATAGCTACTACTGTCACTTCTTTATTGGGTTGACGAACAACAGAAAAGTCTCTACCACATTGTCCTTTGTTATTAATTCCAAAAGTATATAGATGCCCTTTATTAGTCACCACAGCTGCATGAGCTTTTCCTAATGCTACTTTTTGAACTATTACGTCTTTGAGATCATTAACAACCCCCGATGCAGGATCACTATGAAGCGTATCTTTACCGAACATTAACAATAAACCTTCTTTAGATACGAGTGCTGTAGATCCATTATTACATGCTGCATCAACAATAAACTGGCCATCAATCCTAAGCATTTTCTTTGGTTTTACTGGCTTTGAAGCTCGACGGACTTTATTGTTATCACCGTCTTCTCCTCTACGTGCAGTTCCCGCGAATAAAGCAGACCCATCTTCCAAGACTAGAATAAGATGCTGACCATCATGACCCGCAACTACTTGGGAAATTTTCGACCCTTTGCTTATCGTAAATTCTAGCCAACGATTTGGTCGAGTGTTATTCTTCATTCCTAAACAACTGCCTTTTCCAGTATATAGTAATTTTCCAGATGAAGTTTTCAACACACAAAACTCTTTACCAGCAGTCACTGTTAATATTTCATCATCACTGCCAGGACTTAAAGTATGTGCTCCTTGCTCTTCATCAAATAATGCCCAGCCAAATGTATCTACACACTTTCTTGCAAGTTTTAGAGGTAATTCTGATGTTACAGAGACTGGACTACTTAATGTATTTATCGTTCGTACAACAAAACCATCCTGAAAAACAAATTTTTTGTAATGATTACATAATATTAATATAATTTTTGTCGTAAGTTGTAATAAAACATAAAGTTACATCTTTCCCGGCTGTGATCATGCCCAAATTAATACCATCGGAAAACATCACAGATGAAGGCCAATCTCTACCCTCAAGAACTGCAATTCCTCTTACTGTTAAAGTTTCTGCATCCAACTCTAAAAGTTCGCAATGCTTCTTAGGAGCACATTTAAAATACAAAGATCCCTGTGAATAAAATATGTAAATATTAGTTTGAAATTGAGAAAAAGTTTATATTATTTTTATTTGTATCTAGAATCACTTTCAAGAAGAATCATCAATGTTTTCATTGAAACTTTCTCGATTAGTGTATTAATTTTTGTAAATTTCTTTAAATTATTTTCTGTTAAGTAGAATAATTTATTTATCAACATAAAAGTGAATAAACTCACTATTCATCGATAATGCGGTTAATAAATCATTATCAATCGTTACTGCATATATTTAAAGGCAATTTTACCATTCACAATAATCAGTAATCGATTAATATTTAACTTACACTTGCATAGCCTAGCCATCCAACTTCAGTAGGGAAGAAATCCGGTTTGTGTCCATATAATTGTCCCCCAATCGTTCCCCCATAACCACTACCGATTTTTAACAACCCCCTATTAGTGTGAAGGTACAAAAATTTCCCATCACTGACGAAACTTTTACCATTTAATATAACATTATGAATTTCACTGGGTAATCCAAGGGTAAATTTATAGATTTTTGAACTTTTCGGGATACCATATGTCATCCAATCAGGTCGTGAAACTTTCCCTAACAACACAGCTTCGACACTACGTTGAAGAGATGCTAGTACAGCTGGCATTTGAATATTTTGAGTTGCTAAAGCTCTAGGGCACATTAGAAGAGCTGCTATTGCTGTTAAAAGTCTTCCAGTATTTCCACGAACTACAACTAAACTCAATAAACATGCACAAGCTACAGCAGTCAAATGTTTTCCATCGTTTGCTACTGTTGATTCCGGTCCATGAGAAGTGGCAAGATCCAGAAGAAGATCAAATAAAGGATCGATGACATCTTCAGGTTCGGATTTTAAACTCTCGGGCATTTGGCCCTGGAGAACATCCAACAAGGCACTCAGGGATTTAGTACATAAAAGCGGTTCTATTGTTCGGCTCTCTCTCATCAACGTAAAAATACTTCTCAACCCAATGCCAACGATCTTTGGTAATGTTTGAGTCGATGATATCCTGTCTTCATCATCGCTATCAGTATCAATCGTATCACTAAGCTCTGGTGGCTGTGGCGAGCTACAAGTGGAAGCTCTAAATGTTTCATTAGAAACTCTAGAATTCTTTTCCAGGATGGCATCTCTAACACTAGCAAATACGGCAAAAGCTGATGCATTGCTTGATAATTCGATTTCTGGTGGACCTGTGTAGCTTGAATCTCCATTTATCTCAAACTGAAATTAAAATAATTCAATCAATAATAGTTTTATTGTGAAAAAATATTTATTGCAATGAAAAATTGAGCAATAATAAAATTAATAAATTACTAGAAATAGTTAAACATTAATATTGCTTGATATACGATTATCTGTTTATTAAACTATGATTCATAATCTATTTTTTAAATAAAGAACTCGTTTGGTATACAATAAATTGAAATAAAAATATTATGCCTACATAATTTTATCTTGAAAAAGGTATTTACTGAGAACACCTTTCATATATTGGAGTATATAAATATGTGTGCTTTAAAGTAAAGTAGAAATTTAAATAATTGAAATCCATTCTTAAAGATCTTTTTGTTTATTCACACAATGCTAATCATTTAAAATGATGCAATACACTTTTTTAGTATTTCTTCTTTCTAACAATCAATGAATAAAATTTATCTGTATTTTTATCACCACTCTTACGTTTGTTGTGTTGTTTAAACACAAACAAATATAATTATTAATATTTCAAAATTCATACCTTTTTCTTTTCCTTCCTTTTATTGATTCTTGATTTTTTACATTTTTTCCAATCACTTTTAACTCTGAAAAAAGAAGTTTCATAAAAAATTTCAAAAACCTGTATCAACGTTTACAAAAAACAAACAAGGTATTTATTTATAAGAGTGAAATAATGAAAAAGTTCGAAATTGTTGTTGAACCATTGACAAAAAGCCAATTGTTTATAATTTTGAATAAAAGAATCAAGCAGATTAAATGTAATTAAATTAAAGATTGGAGAAACATCACGTAAACAAAGCAGCTTTCTGAGGTTATAGGAATTACATCAGTGATAATAATATACCTTTCATTTTCGGCGGTAGTCTTGAATAATTCGTAAAAACATTTAGCATAATTATCCGGTTCAAATTGAAGCCTTTCGTAATCAATAGATAGCATGGCTTCGTGACTAAGAATGTTCGTAAACGAATATACGGCATTCACCAACTCATTTTCGTAATATTATTGATCGTCACTCGTCTCCCAACACACTACCACACTGTAGTGAGTAGCACTCTACTTGACTACTCCAATGCTCAACAGCGAATGCGTCAAGTTTTCATTTCCCGCTTCAAGAACTCGTGTCTCCAGCGTTCCTGTTCAATTCTGTGCGTTTATTGGTCAACGTCCTCCCTACTTTTCTAATGAATGTAGACCACGATATAAAAATACTATCGTGAAATGAATTAATGTTTACTTTTAGCTCTCTTTCATGTTGTGAAGTCATAAATAAAAATAATTATTTTCTTCATTATTTAGCATATTAATAAACTATTGAGATTATATTATAATACTATGAAAAAAATTTATCACTTATAGAATTCAAAAATACAATATAAGATAGTTAAACAAATTTTTATCATTATCTTATTATTATTGAATTGCCATGATGATGTTTTTATTTATAATTATTCAACATACTTTCATAATTAATTTTTGCAAAAATATCCAACAAAAACAATGAATTATACTTACCATTATTGGAAATTTGAATGAAGCCTACATGACATTCAGCCATCCATTTTCTGCGTCTTACTCATGCGTAGAAGCAGACAGGTTCTATCAGACATTTGCATTTAGCGCCACTATTAAGATGGAGTACTAATTAATTTTAAATTTTAGCAAAAATTAAAATGAGAAACTAAATAGATGAACAATTCAATTTTTACTTTTTTAATAGAAAAAAATAAACTTTATAATAATATAGAGTTCAAAAACCTAAACATCTCATTATTTAAACGTACTTTTTTAAAGCGATTTCTGTTGTTTGAGGCATCAAAACTTTAGTACCACAGCTGATATTGAACGTCGTTGTAGTCTCCAAGAGATCTCAAAAGTTCCAGAAGTCAACAATTACAATCAATCTCCCGCCAAAAAGCAGAAAAACGCGTTAGCTTACATTCTTTGGTTAGCTAGAGAGTCTTTTCGCTTTGATATATTTAATAATTATCATTCTTATTTACAAATAATTGTATTTTAATAATTTTATATCATAAATCTTTGCAATAATGAAGGATAAAGAGAAGAAAGGACGAATGTTTGTTGTGAAACGCGGTAAGTAGATATTTATGAATCCTTTCGTCATTCAAGAATGATGATCAGTCATCATAGATAACCAAAATACCGGTATTTTACTATTATTAATCAAGCATTAATATTAATTTGATTATTAATGTTTGAAATCCAATTGCCTTTATTACTTCTTCAGACTACCATGAAACTTGTATGTATTCTTTATAAAACCTTTATCTTATTATATATCTTATATCTGATTTTTTGAAGATTAATTAATTCTTTGATCACTTATTAAATATGTTCTTTCAGATGGTAATAAAGAGGAAGTTCATTATGATAAAATTACCTCAAGAATTGAAAGACTTTGTTATGGCCTGGATATGGATTATGTCGATCCTGTATGTCTAATTGCTACAATCAAGATTATTTATTCATTTTTTCATTTATCAAAGATATTTTAGGTATAATGCTATTAATAAATTGATTATTTTTAGCCTGCCATCACTTCTAAAGTCATCAGTGGCCTTTATACTGGAGTTACAACTGTTCAATTAGACAATCTAGCTGCTGAAATTGTCGCTACAATGACGACAAAGCATGCTGATTATGCCATTTTAGCTGCTAGAATTGTTATTTCAAATCTTCAAAAAGAAACTAAAAAGGCTTTTAGTGGTAATTATTTATTAGAAAGATTGTAGATGAATGTAGATTTCTTTATTGATCCATTTATTTCCCAGAGGTGATGAATGATCTTCATCATATATACGATCCAGTAACAAATGAACATACTCCAATAATTAGTAAATATCACAATGACATCATTCAAAAGCATAAAGATGCTTTTGATTCTGCTATTGTTAATGAAAGAGATTTTGACTATAATTATTTCGGTTTTAAAACATTGGAGAAGAGTTATCTGTTAAAAATTAATGGCAAGGTCGTTGAAAGGCCTCAACATATGTTAATGAGAGTTGCAGTAGCGATTCATGAGGAAAATATTGAAAAAGTTATTGAAACGTATAACTTCATGTCTCTGAAATATTTCACTCATGCCTCACCTACTCTTTTTTCTGCTTGTACAGTTTCCCAACAAATGTCCAGGTAAAATTCTTATTTTTATCATTTGATTACAATAATTTTTTATTAACTAAGTACTTATAGAATATAAAATTATACAATACAATTAAAACATTAACTATAAAAAATTTTCAGTTGTTTCTTACTAACAATGATGGAAGATAGTATTGATGGAATTTACGATACTTTAAAAAGATGTGCACTCATTAGTAAATCTGGTGGTGGAATTGGCTTAGCCATTCACTGCATCAGAGCCAGAAATACTCCAATCAGTACCACAAATGGAGTTTCTAATGGCCTAGTTCCAATGCTTCGAGTTTATAATAATACAGCACGTTATGTTGATCAAGGCGGAAATAAAAGACCAGGAGCTTTTGCTATTTATTTAGAACCCTGGCATGCTGATATCTTTGATGTTTTGGACTTGAAAAAAAATACTGGAAAAGAAGAATATCGAGCTAGAGATTTATTTTATGCACTATGGATTCCAGATCTTTTTATGAACCGAGTAAAAGAAGATGGTATATGGAGTCTAATGTGTCCTCATGAGAGTCCTGACCTTCATAATAACTGGGGTGAAGAGTTTGAAAAAATTTATACCAGATATGAAGAGGAAGGACGATTTATTCGTCAAGTCCAAGCTCGAGAGCTTTGGATGGCAATTCTAAAATCTCAAGTTGAAACAGGCACTCCATATATGCTATATAAAGACCATTGTAATCGTAAGTCTAATCACAAAAATTTAGGTACAATTCATTGCAGCAATCTCTGTACGGAAATTGTCCAGTATTGTAGTCCAGATGAAATTGCAGTGTGTAATCTTGCATCAATTGCAGTAAATCGTTTCGTTGATTCTGTTAATCGTACTTATAATTTCAAGAAACTTAAGGATATCACAAAAATTGTTACAAAAAATTTAGATAGAGTTATTGATGTAAATAATTATCCACTTCCTGAAGCAGAAAAATCAAACCGCAAGCATAGACCCATTGGAATTGGAGTTCAAGGCTTAGCTGATGCTTTCTTGCTGATGGGTTATCCATTTGAAAGTGAAGAAGCTCAAAAATTAAATATTCAAATCTTCGAAACAATTTACTACGGTGCTTTGGAAGCTAGTTGTGAAGTTGCTCAAGAAAAAGGTACTTATGAAACTTATAAAGGAAGTCCAGTTAGCGAAGGAATTTTACAGTATGATATGTGGAATGTAACTCCTACCGATCTATGGGATTGGTCAGAATTAAAAAATAACATTTCAATTCATGGTGTAAGAAATTCTCTTCTTCTTGCACCAATGCCTACAGCTTCAACTGCTCAAATTTTAGGAAATAATGAATCTGTTGAACCTTATACTAGCAATGTTTATGTAAGACGTGTACTATCAGGAGAATTTCAAATAGTTAATCCACATTTATTAAAAGATTTAATCAAGAATAATCTTTGGGATGATGATATGAGAAATGAATTAATTGCGCACAATGGATCTGTTCAAGAAATTGCTCGCATTCCTAAAGAGTTAAAAGAACTTTATAAAACAGTATGGGAAATTCCTCAAAAAATTATTTTAAAAATGGCTGCAGATAGAGCTGCTTTTATTGATCAATCGCAGTCATTAAATGTCCATATGGCTGAACCAACAACGAATAAATTAACTTCAATGCATTTTTATGCTTGGGATCTTGGATTAAAGACTGGAATGTATTATCTAAGAACTAAACCAGCTGCTAATGCTCTTCAGTTTACTGTTGATAAATCAAGACTTCAAGAATACAAATCTAATCAAACTTTAAATGAATCACAGCAAAATCAATCAATTACTGGAGAAGAGGAAGAAGATCCTGTTCTTGTATGCTCTCGTGAAAATGGAGATGCTTGCATGGCATGCAGTGCATAATCAATATTTTCTACGTATTTTTAACCATTTTTTTATTCATAAGTATATCAATGATTCATGTGACATTAAAATATTTCATGAAACAGTGAATCATAAAGTAATACCTCAAAAGAGACAACTAAAGAGAAATAGATTTAAGTAGGAAACTAAATTCAACACTCTCATATTAAAACCAATATCTCAATGAGTTATTCTTGATAAACATATTCCGTTAGTACACAATTAATGTGTTATAAATTTTTTAATCTTCTTTTATATCAAACAAACAAAAGTATTTGTCACTCATGTATTGATACATTAAGTTGCACATGTTTCTTTTTTAATGATTATCTCATACGTATTTTTTTTTTTATTTTTTATTTGCAAACAAAAAAATGAAACTGATTAATGAATGTGGAATACATTTAAAATACCATTAAAAAATTATGCCAAATATCATTATTTTCTTTTCTAAAAATTGAAGGTAATTGTTGAAACTTAATAAAATAATAAATTTAAAATCTCACTTACATAAAAAAATTTGTAAATCAAAATATAAATATGTGATTTGATAAATTTTCGTTTGTAATTATCTTTTGTTAAAAATAAAATTTATTCGTTCTGGATATCATTTTTTTTTATTATTACTTCAAATATTAATTAATTCTATAATATCAAAATTCTGTCCAGTTATTTAGTAAATTCAAATTTGTTAGTTGCATTATTTATTATTTGTGGCGCTACGATCGTTACGTTCACACTTAATCCTACAGAGGCGCAGTAATCGCATTGGCTTCCACACCGTTCTGGAATATCCGCCATGACAGCTGATGTCTTGTTGAAGACTTGACGTTTTGTCAGAACATGACATTTTGTACATTTTATTTAAACAAATGGCTGACTCTTTTTTCGGATTTGATACCGCTCTACTAGTAAGTATTATTTTTTTTATACATTCTTCAAATTGCATAGTTTTTATTGCTCTAACAATAGAGATTTTGCAATGAGCATATATGTACGCTTGTTTTCCTTCCAACTACTCACGTTTTTGTTGATTTATCTACTCATTTTTTCATTTCTACAGGTGAAGAGTTCACATTCAATGTATGACGAACGGAAAAAATAATTCTATAAATAATCATCTTAACTAAAATTAGCTTGATTTTTTTTTATCAGTAAAAAAAGACGAAATCTAATATTTAACATCCTGTTTTGTGCTGACGATCGAGATACATAGCATCTCAACATAACCTAAAATCATACTCAATGTTGATGAATACTCCAAAATTCAAATAAGTTTAATATTTTGGGAATTTTTTTTACAGGGTAGTGGCTTAGACGATGCTATAGACTGTCCTTTAGATGGAGATGAAATTGAAGATGAAGAATATGACGCCTTGAACGACGAGACTTTCGGCTCCGAAGCGATAGCAGGTGACTGGGAACAAGATCATGAGAAATTGGCACAAATCACTGAATCTAAAAGACCACATCAAACCCAATCAATTCATCACACCAATCAGAAAGTAGTTATTTTTATCTTTATTTTTATTTTTTAATAATTTAACTTTTTCTAAAAAAATTAATTTTTTTAAAGAATGGTGTCGACGTGGATATTAAGGATAGTCTTTCTCACTTGGTATTGGATGAGAAGGAAGGAATTGTTCCGCGTCCAGGTGTATGGGACAGCCCATCAAGCCTTCCAATAGCTCCAAAAGCACCTCCTTTATCCGTGGCCTTGAAAAATGTATGTACAGTTGAAGAACTGGAAAGAGGTCTTATCAGTAGACCACCTCCTGGATTACAAAAACCAATAACACCAACATCGGTATTAAATACTCAAGCTCCACAAAATGATCAATTATTGCTAGATCATGCGAAATCATTACATCGACAAATCAATAGTTATTTCGATACCTTACCTCCAAGATATTTCCAACATATGATAGCTGAGTTAGCTCCAATACGCACACGAGCACCATGTGTGGTACCTTGCCCACCAATATTGCCAAATTCACGGCCTTTAGCTCCTAATCAAGCTCCAAATCTTTTAAGGTATCCTTTATCACCTCCACACCTTATGTTAGCTCATAGAAATCAACAACAAGCACTTCATAGAAATTTTATGGGCAATTTTTCACAACCACCCAGACCTAACATACCACCACCTCAATTTACAAGGCCTGAGCAATTTCAATTTTTGCAACCACCATTTAATAATAATCATCCAAATCATTTACTACCCCATTCTCAACAACAACCACAACAACATCAGCAACAGCAGCAACAACAACATTCTAATAACCAGAGAAATCAAAATAGATCTTACCATAGTGATCCACAGCCATCAAATAATCATCAACCGTTCTTTAAGAGTAATCAACATTGGAATAACAGAAATAATCAGAAGCATTATCATCATAATCATGGTGTCAATGGTTTAAACGATAATAGCGAGTATGATGAATATGCTGGAATGATGAGTAACCGTGAGAAACAATGGCTGACAAACATACAGATGCTTCAACATAACACTAATCAACCTTACTTCGATGATTATTATTACACAGTGTTTTGTGAACGTCAAAACAAAAAGAATGAAAATCAGGATAAACAAAAAGATAAAAAAGTTCATAATAAGAATGGATATCGTGAGAAAGATAAAGATCAATCACAAAATATACTCACGAAAGTTGTTTATACTCCCATGCAATTTGAAAATTCATTAGGAAAATTGCAGTGTGGTTCTGTAACAGCACCAAGGAAAATAATTGATATGGATGTAGTTCCAAGTAATGAACCAACTCAGAATTATTCGTCACAGCAGAAAGATATGAAAAAGGCTCGTCAAAGATTGTTAGAAATTGAACGCTTATTCACAATACAATTAAAGCTTGAAGATATTAATAATCCACTGGCACAATTAGCTGAACAACAAGCTCAGCAAATGCAGCAACAGCAGCCTGATCAAGAGCCAGAAAATAAACCAGTCAAGAAGACGGCGCCAGAATTGATTAATATCATGTTGACTTCAATTTTCCAGCTTCTTCGCGAAGACAAATTAGCTAGCATACTGAGTATCCGGAAAGGAAAAACTTTATTACTTCGATTTTTACCTTTTCTCAGCGTTACGGAGTATACAAATCAACTTGGAGAAATTTGGGTAGGAATCATACGAGGACTGGCAGTTATTTGTCGTCGAGATGCTAATTTCCTAGTTCGATTTTTCCCTGAATTTTATCGATGGATTGAAACCGTTAATGACTTTTCTATGGTTTTACGCTTAGCCAAAGCATTTTTAGACTCTGCGACACAAACTAATAAAAATAACAATAGCCTGGCATCTGCTGTCACAAATAAGGTATGAAATATCACCTTTATGATTAATTCATATTATTCCATAATTTATTAATAGATAAATGTTTCAATGATTTACAGAAGTAATTAATTACAATTAATAAATTTCTTCTTTTTAGTTTGGCGTATCAGTAATCTCTTCGTTATTAGAACGAGCGGAAAATTTATATCCGGAAGACGATAAATTGATATCAGAGTGGTCAACATTTGTTGTAACTCTTGCTGATACTATTGGTAGTACACCACCAAATGTTGCACCGTGTCAACCGATCGCGGCTAATACACTCAACGAACATTTGCACAGAATTCATGGTCTAACGATCGAGAGGTACGCGCCAATAGAATCTTTATTAACTGATGCTAATCCATCACGATAGACTGATAACCTGTGAGTAAATTTTATTTTATTTTTTTCGTCTCGATTTATATTCGCAATATTTATCTTCTTATTTGCATCGAAAAATTTTTTTCCGTCATTGAACGTTCTTCCATCCAAGGGATGTAAATAGAAATAATTGCGATTAAAGAACGATTAAAACAATTAATGTTTTGTTTTTTATATCGATTAATATAAATTGATTAAAAATATATGCGAAAAATAAAATACAAAATTCTAGAGTATGGAAGAAGTACAATACCTCTACAAATAGCAACATGGAATATTACTAAATAATTTAATTATTTTTGATTCTTCGTTGAATTATAATATCCTGCGCACATTATTTGTTTCTAAAATCAATTGTAGCAATTTATAGATTTTTTTGACATAAAATAATTTTATGTACATATTTTGTCTGTCGAAAATAAACTAATTGATTATTTTAATTTTTTTTTTGATCGTGACAGGTAAACATTTTTTTGTTAAGTATGTATAATCTATTAAAAAAAAACAATCATTCGGCGATAATTTATCTAATACATTGCTTTATGTACATTTATCTTGTACATAGTGTCAAGATTGAAATTTATTAGAATGTATAATATTGATCATGCGAAAAGAATTTTTTTGTTTTATATATTAAGTGAAAATGAACCGAAAAATAATGAAGATTTTTACATTGATGATCAATTATAATATGGAAGAAAAATAATAAAGAAAAATATTAAATTGTTAAATAAACAAAAATTTTTTTCTTTAAAAATGAATGAATATAAATATTTCAATTATTTCCATTGAATTAATTCAATTGGAATTATGTTTGATTAAAATATAATAAATATGAAATTATTAATTTGTTTCATACTAATAAATTGTATAGTAAGATAATGATATTCAAGAAAAAAATGAGAATATTTAATAGGAAAAGATTGAAATATTTTTTCTCTACTATCGATAAAAGATAAAATTTTTCTCTAAATGATTTTTTTTCAATAATTTTACTATTTTAATGATTATCGTTATTAAGTAGTAAGTACAATTATAAAAAAAAAGATTTATATAGTAGTTAAATACGTCAGAAAAGTCCAAATGGTTACGTTATATTCTTCTTAAAAAAGTAACCGGGCAAAAAATGATAAAGATATGTGAAAATATTTAAAAAAAAACTGATGATAAAAAGCGCAGAAATATTTGAATAGCGCTTTAATTTTTTTTAACAAATAAATGAATGATTAAAATGTTAGAAGTTATAATGAAATATTTAAATATAATGATTTTTTTAATAAAAATTACATTTGATATAACATAGTATAATAAATAAAATAGTATAGTGATAATCGCACACGTATACGTGAAATCTTCGTGTGAGATAAGAATCTATAACAAAGCATTAAAAAGAAACATAATAATTATATTATAATTATAATAATTTTAATATGAACAAAAATTTTATCTGCCTTAACACACCTATCAGAAATATGTTAAAAAAATAGGTTGTTAGGCATGGACGATTAATTAAGTAACGATTAAACATACCAATTTATTGATTTAAAAATGAAAATAAAAAAAAAACTTGATAACTTTTTCACTGTAATTGTTATTATTAAGTGATAGAAGATGTTATAAAAGACATCATTACGGCCATCCCGAAGGAGTTTTATTTCATTATTATTATTATTATTATTATTATTATTATTATTATTATTATTATTATTATTATTATTATTTTTATCTATATTATTATGACTAGAATAAAATGTTTTATGTGATGATGTATTATAATAATGATTATAACATAAATTTAAAACTTTTCATTTATAACATGCATTTAAAAAGATAAATGAATAAATTAAACATCATTTAAAATGAAATCTAAGCGATACGATTTCTCATAGATTCATCCAATATACCTGTTGAGTAAATTTTTCGCTGAAATACTTATTTATTCTTATGGAATATTTAAAATTCGAATACAGCTCATTTCTGTCATTTTCTACTGTCAATGCATATCTAAGTTTGATAACATGATAATAATAATAATAATCAATAGAATTTATTAACAGTTAAATAACGTTTATAACTGAAATGATTGCTTTCACTTATTAATTATTACTAATTGATTATCTATTTTTCTAGGAGTATCCTTATATTACAATACATAATTTGTCAACTGTTAATAAGTTATCATTAATTATTAATTACTTTATTGATTTGTCTGGTAATATTTTTTTTGCTACCACATTGAATAAAAAAAATAGTTGAAGGATTGTATACTTCTTCTATACTCATTTTTATTATTAATGGAAAAAGTGGTTAAAAAGGATTCATAATAATTTAATAATTGAATAAAGAAATATAAAAATAAGTGAACTAATGTAAATTGAACGCTGCCAGTAAATAAAATAGCAGTATCATCACTATGTGTATGTACAGATTAATTAAATTTGAAATCAAAGTCGCAAATAAAACTTTTGCATTATAGTTTGCAGATTTATGTTTATTTTTTTTTTAACCCTATTTTAGTTTCATAAACTAATTTGATGATTAAAAACATCCATTTTATTCTTAAATTCTTTCCTTGTCTTTAATTCTAACATCATAAAAACAATCATCTTTTCATTATTTCCATAAAATTTATTTTCAAATGAGGTACTATTCCATTGCACTTTTTCTTCTTTTACTCCACCATTTTTACATCAAAGTTGGACATATATATTATTTTAATTACTACCACATCGCATTCTGATTTATTATTTAATATTATAATTTAACAATATACAACATTTTTCAAATTTTTTAATCATCTTTTTGGTTTTCTATTAAATTAAGTAATTCAATAAACTTATTAATTCAACTTTTTTGTGAGCATATTTTCATTTTGAACAAGTGTGCAATGTATGTTTCTAACAACATTCTGATTGTGCGTATATTAAAGTGCTAACTAGCATGAACACTCTTTACAACAGAAATGAATATTTTTCTTTGTTTTTCTTTTATTATTTTTTATTAATTCCAAAATGATAATTATTACAATTATTAACTTCAATAAATAAAAATTTAATTAGTTACCAATTATTTATTGTAATGAATTCTCAGAACAGGATTATCAAAATGGTTTCTTATTTAAATTAATATAAATTATATATTGATTCTTAAGTTTGTTATTTTTCTAAATTTTTTATTTGAATCTCACATTTACTTTTTCTTCTGAAATGTAAAAAAATGAGAGGATTTTCATGCTGTTAAAAATGAACTACGGCAGTGAGTACGTAGATGAGACAATTTTATCTTCATCAACCGAACATAATAAAGGTTAAATAATTTTTCAATAAATACATTACATTGTCAAGATAAAAATTATTTTATCTGACTTATATAATCATCAATTACAATTTTTCTCATTCCGTGGCAGGTTATTTCAACATATTTTTTATTTATTTGGCACACAAGATTTATTTATTTTATAATTATAAACATTCAATTGATAGAATTGTTCAATTTTAGTGAAAATCAAATTTTTGATATATAAAGAATTTTTTTTTTTTAAACTAGTTAAATTTTATGAATTGTGTGAAAATAATAGATACATTCGTGCACAAACAATTATCAATCAATGTTTTCTCAAAATATTCTTTGCTAGACATATTTTATGCATAAATATATAAGATTATCTATTTTATATTTTTCTTTTATTCCCATTTATTTTATATCTTATTCATTCATTATTTCTTAGCACCGATCAAAAAGAATATTTCTTTTTCACTATAGCCTTAAAAATATATTAATAAGTTTACAGAAAAGGAATGAAGAAATTTTCGTTCTAGAAAGAACCGCATGCTTATGGCTCTTTTTTGCCTATACAATTATTGTAATAATCTATGATTTTTAACAAGTAGACGTTCAACAATTTTCTAAATTTTTCAAATTTTTGTTCATGTATTTGTGACGTTTATTTCATTACTTTAGACGTATTTGAACACAAATTCAGAACTTTTCTCTTGTAAAGGAGTTTTTCGTTGACACTGATTTTTTATCTTTTTAAAAAATGATTTTATTTAAATAGTAACGATAACATTTTTTTACTTGTTCAAATATTCATGTGAGTTATTAAGGACGTTTCTTTGAAAAATGGTTTAAAACTCAATTACATTTATCTCTTCAATTAAAAATTTACCTGTGTTTACTAATTTTTGTTCTATACATGTAAATATGTTAGGACTAGTTAGAATATGATTAAAAAACTTTTCATTTACATTATTTAAAATTTAATTAGGTAAAAAACTTGTTTGAAAAATAATTGACGTAATTATTTTTTTAAATATAAAATCAGTAAAAGTTTTTAAAATTAATAAATAACTAATACTTTGCTGATAAAAAATTCATCAGCGAATTCATAGAATATTTCAATAAACAAAAATGAATTTTAAGTTTATATTGTAATAAAGGAAATATTTAAACACTGCTTGTAGCATGACAATCTTCCAAAGTGACCAGACTACTAGCTTTCAAAGAAGCTAAACTAAGTGAACTCTGATTCAGTTCATGAGAATCGTCACAGTGAAGATAAAGACGTGAGCTCACTGATTTATGACAATCAGGACAAAGACGTTTCTTCTTCTTATCACGTCTTTTTAGAATATCATATGCACATCTAAAAAAATTCCAATAAATCCAAATAGATTAGTAATTTCTTTCATAAATTTTATTAATATAGTTTTGAATAATAAATACCGAGCATGTAAAATGTGTGAGCATGGTAATGCTTCAAGAGTATCAGCTTCCAAGCCAAAAGGTTCATTGCATCCACCACATCTAAGCTCTAGATCCTCCTCTGTGGCTAAAGCTATTCTTTCATGATGACTTTTTTGTTCTTCATCACCCAGAGAACCGTAGATCCGTGATAGTCTGCATCGTACTGTTCTTACCAAGAGCTAAAACATTAAGACAATATATCTTCTTTTTCCGACTTTTCAAAACAAAAAACAATAGCAATGTGAGTTTTCATCTTGTTTTTAACTCTTTTATACTATCTCGGTATTTTCTTTTTTTCATAAAATATTACACATTTCTCCTCAAGAATTTTTAAGCTATGAAGAAAACATTTTAATGCTCTGTAAACATCTTTAAAAATCTTCAAATAATTTTTTAATATCATTGAGACGTTTTCCAATACTTTTACATTTGTTGTAAATAACTTAAGGGCTTTGGATAAATTTTTCAAACATTTTTCTCCTCTTGAAAGTTAAAAAAAGTTGACCAAGATTGTTGAAGTTATTTAATAAATATCTAAAAGCTTAGCTAACATTGTTTGCGCTTTGAAACAATATTTAATGATCTAATGGTAATTGATAGTCGTGATATATTTTGAAAACATTGGAGATAATGTTACCTTTGCGCCAACTGAACTGGCCACTTCTAGCAATCGCGTGTTGAACTCTAAAGGTCTGCAATCACAAATTCTATGCTGAAGTCTCAAAGCCTCTAAACATCTAGCAGCACCATCCATTGCTTCCATTTGACACAATCGATCTCCAGTCGCTGCAGCAGATTTCATGGCACTTTCATACTGTCGAAAGGCTTTCTGTAACATATCAAACTTCAATTCCAACTGTATTCCAATAGTCTTTTATGTCAGATAAATCTAGTAATCAAAAGCTCATCAGTTATGTTGTAGCTTTACAATTGGTTTAGGTAAGATCAATGTATTCGATTTCTGGCAAGCTTCATTTTTACTTTTATGGACATTTAGAAAATATTTTTAATCAACTTACATTAATATCTGATTTTGCTCGGTAAATATCTCCCATTATTCGTATACTTCGAGCATAACTTGCTTGGTCTCCTGCAACTAGAGATAATCTTGTCGCTTCCTGACAAACAGACAAGGACATTTTTTTATAACGAAATATTCAAATCCTCAATTAACATTATTCAATGCACAAATATATTTCACTATTTGAGACAAATTTATTTAGTATGAACTTATATTTTATTAATATCTAAAATTATATCAGTTATCAAATAAACTTTACCGAACAATAGTCATGAGCATCACCAAGTTCTCCTTTCTTCCTCAAAGCAGTTGCCATTTGTAATAAGGCAGCACGATGATGTCTAGAATTCAAATCTCCTAGTTGTAAACTTCGGGAGAGATCGTATGCTCTTGACGCATATCTCACACTTTTTTCTGCATCCTGAAGACGGCAAAACAGTTCTGACAGCCCGACATATACCTAGAAGTTAAATTTAATACTCGAAAATATATGACAATAGAGTATATGTACTACTTGTGAATCTAAGAAATATCATTTTATGTTTTCAACTTTAAACATTTTTAGTTTAATATTAATAACAAGCACAGAAATAACAAAAACAATTAAGATGATCGTATTAATATTAATAATTATAATTATAGTAGCAGTACATAAGGTTGACTGAAGATAATTGTAGTTATGTAAAATGGGTTAAACATATACCTGAAGTTCAAGGGATGGATCCTGAATAGAATGAGCAATTTTATGAGCTCTCTGGAAAGCTTCCAGCGCTTTACAGAAGCCGGCTAATTCAAGGTGAACCCTGCCCACCGTTAAATGAACTAATCCAGCTGTAGCACATTGGTCACACTCGTTGTACAGACTAGTTAGATTAATTTAAAAAATAAAAACTAATTATAGTTACAATAAACATATTAGTGCGAAGTTCACATTCAAAAATATTTATCATTCATGAATTCAGTAATTTATTTTACAATTAATTCATGAATTAATTAACATAAAAGAGTAAGGTTTATTCTATTGTAACAAGTGATTGTTGTAAGCAATTAAAATGCTACAATTTTGAAGCACTGTTTACCTGTGTCTGGCATAAGCTAATGCTCGTTCTAGTGCTCCAAGTCTCTCGTGGGCTCTTGCTAAATTCAAATAAGCCTCAGCTCGCATGTTAGGGGAGTCTAGGTCATCAGAAATACTCAATTGCCTGTGAGCGAAGTCTATACTATCTCTGTAAAACAAATGATTACAGCTAATTTTAGTTTTATTTGTTTCATTTATCTCCACAAGTACAAGCAATTATGCTATTCAAAAGCTTTGATTGTTAACTGGTTAAATACTTCAACAAACTATTGTTTTCGATGACCATTTCACAATAATTGTTGATAATTGGATTCGCAGAAACTATCAATGTCAATAACATAAATATTTGATAGCATTATTTAGTTGCTATTATTTTAGAATAATTCATTTTAGAAGATGCTTTTGTATTCAATCAAGTACAGGATTGATATTGAGTTTAAACAGTTTTAGTGTTAGTAAAAGCAATTCTATCATTGAACTTAATTGTAGCATTCAATGGCAATACCACAATGCTTCTATTTTCTGTCTATTCGCGTAATGACAAAATGAATAAATTATTCGTGTTCTCACTAGTCAGACTGTTGTGTCTGTTCGTAGCACATGTGGCTATTCCTTAATGAATCCTAACGTCACATGAGATTTTACAGTGTTCAGAATTGCAGATAAATGCTCACTTCAGCTTGGATTACCACAGTGCTATTAGCACACCCAAGGGAATATAATGTCCTTGATGTCCTCAGACCACAAAACGGATTTACTTAGAACTTATGATGACGTAATTTGTAATTTCTCCCTGATAAATTTATTTACTTTTCATTGTTGATTTAAAGCCGCTCTTTTGTTCTCTATACCTAGGATGAGTTCAAGTTTTATTTAATTGATACTCAACATTACTGTTATTCTCAGAAAGATTAATTCCGGTACGTGTGATAATATTTTATTCCTCAATTATTTCGTGTTTAGATAATAATTAAAAAAAAATATATGTGGCTTCTTTAGTGGTAAATCGAGTGATCTTGTGATATTAATCAAATTATTAATCATAGGTCGAAAACAAGAGTGTTGACTTGTCAGAAGTTTATTGGCAGTGTAAACCTAACAGAACTTGTTAACTCAGTAAATAACTTCAATGTATACTCATATAATAGAAACTAGGGCAAGTTGTTGCAATTTTTATACCGTGATTTTTATTATATTAATTTCTTTTTTTAAATGAAAAATTTAATTAGTTCATTATTATTAGTTAATAATATTCTGGTCAATAAAAAATTAATCAATAACATTTTTTTATTTAAAATCAAAAAAAATTTTATTATGCATTTTTTGGAGAAACTTTATTATTCATAACTCATTTCTCTGTAGAAAGAAGGAATTTTTTTATCACTGCACTATGTCAAATTTGCCAATTTCCTTCTCTTCAAGAATTCGCGACACCTTGATTTTTTATTACTATGAAAGAAAGTACAGGATATGAAGTCTAAAATGATGACAAATTGAGATAGAATCATAATAAAGGAGAGAAAAAGAACTTTTTTTTTGTAGAGTTAGTAGGTTATTGAAAACTTTTCGCGTGTTTGCACACTTGGAATGGAATCTCAAGGCATTCAACAGGACGCCGGAAGGTGGTAAGTGCTGCACCATGTACTATTTGTCAATATCGGTCAGTACTGGTCAATGGTATTTGCCAATAGGTATTTGTGGTTTCTATACCATCTCATATACTTAAGCTCTCTATCTCTGTTAGTATACTATAGAAGCTCTTCAACGTCAACGTTGCAATCTAGTATTCAACAAAAGTATTTCTGCGAGTTTACTTGAATACAAGAAAAAGGTTTTAAAAGTACTCTGTTCGAAAAAATAGAACTATGGAGATGAAGGCGTTCAAGAGAAAAATGGAAATGTATTGATAAAAAAAGAAACGAGTTGTAGATAATCGTTGGAATCGTATCAGTAAATTTTCAATCTAAAAAAAAAGACTCCAGATATTTTGTGAGAATTTTTTATCCAAAATCCCCGAAACAATTTTTTTTGTTGTAATAAAAAAGTATACATAAAATTGGAAGTTAAAGGATTTTATAAAGCAGCTAAAAGAAATCTCTCACATTCGTGAGATAGGTAAAAGTTTTGCTTTTATGGACACTAGAGTGAAAAAGAACTCTTTAAACAATAACAAAAAATGACTTTATTTGAAATATAGATTGATTCATGCATACAAAAGACGTGCTTGATAAAACGACTGTAGAGATATAAAATAGGAATAAAATGCAAAATACAATTGAGTTTCTTTCTTTAAATGTTTCTGGAGGTTGAAACTAAATTTATACAGAATATTTGAATGAATGGAAAAAAAATTTACACTGTATAAACTATATCATAATAAAAATGTTCGACAGCTTTTTTTCAATTTCAATCATCTCGAATCGTTAGAAAAAGATTTTTCAGGTAGAAATTTTTTAATTGATTTACATGAAAACGATTCGTTGATGCTATTCATGATTAGAATCATGAATAAATCAAACTGCAAACAACAGAATTTGGAAATAGATACAAAAAAATTCAGTATAAAATGTAAAGAATAAAAAAATAGCAGTGAAATTTGGAAAATCTGACATTTTACATTTCTTTATCAAAATAAATTTTATATTTGTTATCCAATAAAATTAAGTGAAGCAAGTGATGAATTTATGATCGACTTGAGGTTTAGAAGAGCTTCTTATTCATATGAAGATGATCCTCAAACATGCATTGTTTCAAACTTATATCAAAAACGTGTCTAAAAAGAGGAATCAAAATTAGTTCAGCAAACTTTTTATGAGATAAAATTAAATCTTTTCATTAATGTATTATACAGTCATGATAAAAATAACTTAATCGATTCTTTAGCTTTAAAAATTAATCAATCACAGTTTTTAAAAATATTTGTTATTCAAATAGATACTGAAGTCTTAATTTTTCCAATAGAATTTTATTTCTTTCTATTTTTAGTTTTTTTAATATTTAAAAAAATATGAAACTAATTAAGTGGCCTAATTAAAACTTTAGCAACCTGTTAACTTTCACGATATACTTAATAGAAATATGAGAGATGAGAGATTGAACACCGTAATTTAAAAAAAATGTTGACTTATCTACTATATACCTATATTTTCCCCAATCCATGTAAGCTTGATAAAGATATCCCAACAGGGTAAATTTGTCTTCACGTTGTCTGATATTTTTCAATGCACCCCTCCATTTTCGCACTGCTGCTTGCTGCTTATGTGCTCGATACAATTTTAAACCTTGTTCTACCTGAAACATAGCACAATGCAATAATAAATAAAAAATGAGTTAAAGAGAAGTCAAGAGAAAAATTCATGTACAAAAATAAAAATAAATGTATTGATCATCGATATGCATTTATTTTGCTATAAAGAGCTTTTTTGTCTATTTTTTATATATTTATATTAACCATATACACGTATTAGTCAATCTATATTGAAAGAATAGTCGAGAAAAAAATTGACAGAATATAATAATACCTTTAAGTGAACTGTCGTTTTACACAATATCAACTGAATATCCTAGTATATTGCTCTGCAAGTGTTTCGTCTATTCTACTAGAGATATATGTCAAGGATGCTTTTAGTTTGATGTGTCTTTTTTCTGGTAAATTGCTTGCATTTATTAAAATGTTTTTCATTGTCTAACCCATTGTTTCTTTTCCTTCTCTTATTTCATAGCATTTTAAGCTATTTGCAATGTTTCTATAATAATTATAATATTTACATAAAGATTAATTAAATTTTTTATAATTCTTTTTATTTTTTAACATCTTAGGTATCGTTTGATGCAAATAATTAAATCTATTAAGTTTTAGAAGGCAACTCTTTCTAAAACTAATACAATTAACTTCAACAAGTCTTTAAAGTTCTTCAAATGTTCCTTCAACTGTCGTCTGACTTTTCAATTTTACGCTTGATAAATTACATAGATTTGTGGAGAAGAATCTTCAGTAGAAAATACTGATTAATTTTAACTGAATATCATTTTTCAAAAAATTCAATTCTCAGTTTAATTTAATTTTATTAAATTGATTACATTAAATTAATTAATGATTATCAAAGTGGAAGAAATTCTAAAATACTAAAAAGATTAAACTCAATGAAGTAAGTAGAACATGAATATAATGACCAAGTATACAGTTGAAAGTGCATAGAGAGAGACTAAGAGCTTCGTCTACAAGTAAAAAAGTTCGAAAAGCTGCTTCAAGAGTAAAAGAAGAGACAGTTTAAGTACTTTTAAATCCTAGTTCTTGTTGACAATTTTTTTCTATCAACTATGTTGCAAATGATCTCTAATATGCTTCAATCTATAAGTCAATAGTTTTATTATTGAATAAATATTTATAATTAAATCAACAAACTTATAAATATCAAAATGTCCTTGATTGTTTTTTTTTCTTTTATAAATATCTCAGGGTCCTTAATATTTTTCAATATTATCTTCATTTTAATGATCATAAAGATATCTTTTCATCATCCTATAAATAGAATCAAGGTAGGTACCAATCAGCAAATTAATTAAGCTCTGAACTATTCCAGTGTTAGTATGTATTTATAAAAGCAGAAATGTATTCATTTTCTATTAAATTAAAATAATCAACCAGAAACATTCTATTTTAGTCTAGGTAACATTCACAACAAACCTAAGGATTGTTAGGTCACGAATTGGGACACTTACCCTATGGAATCTAAACTTACAATGGCATATTTCAGTGCAAGGTTACATTTCAATGGTAAATACATAACATACTTCATGGTAGAATCTATTATAGGTCAAGTTTCTCTGATGTTTACCAGCTCATTTAATAAATGAATGTGAAGAAAGTTGACATTGAAGGTTTTATCTGATTTCCTTTATATCCAATCATATTAAACACGTGTAGAATATTCAACTCTTACGCAATGTGGCCGATTATCACGCAAGGATTGGAATAAAGATGAAGGTTTGCTTGAGAGGGAAGGAAGGAAGGTCGTATCGATTCAACCCTGAACTTTATCCTCAGGTAATTCATGAGCACAAGGTATAGCATAAATATAGTAGGGTAGTAGAGAAAATATGAATTACAAAAAAGAGTTTAAAGAGTAATCTTGAAATATAAATCACTTAGGAATTTTTCTTTTTTATGAAGAATTGAGTAATTAACTGGAATAGTAGATGAGATACTCAGGTATCATTGAAAGACATGAAAGATTGTCTCTGGCAAGGTTGAATTCCTGCTTTTATTTCGATGAGGTCACATTCAAAAGAACTCCACTTTTAAAATACTACGCGAACTATTGATGAATTTAATGTCAGATCTCTTATCTTTTACTCTTATCTTCATACTTCTATGATACTGATAAAATAGTTTCTAATCATATTAAGAGTTATTGATAAAATAAAATATTTTTCTTTCTTTTTTGATAAAATATATATGAGGGAATATAGAGCATCTGTGCGTTAAGTATATTTTAATGTTTCAACATCAATTATCTTACCTTGATAGTTCAGCGATCATAAATTTCCATCAATCTATCACCCTATTTTCGAGCAAAAATTTTGCGGAGCTCACGTTTAGCTTAGATTCCAATACATAGCGGGAAATAAATATCGATAATACAATGTATTTGTTGGAACAAAATTCTTCAATACAATATTGATAAAAATATTGAAAAACTGATTTTCATAAAACATGCATTTTTTTAGATTTTCGTATAAATTTCTTCGTCCGCAAATCAATACGGATTATGATCGGTTATCAATAAACCTTGAATTAATCACCAATAGTTGACCGTTCAAATTTTTACAAAATTTTTATCATTCTATTTTAAACAACGAAACATATGAAAATATTTTATAATCTGTTGATCTGAAAAAAATATTCAAACAAAAATTTCTTTTGATGACTCATTTGATTTTAATGTTCTGTAGATTCTGTAATCTATGTATTTAACCTGTTTTATTGTACCTTTATTCAATTGATAATAGTCTATAAGCATTCAGGCCAATTTTGAAGAATATTAATCTCTTTACTTTGACCTCTCCAAGTAAAACCATTTACATCGATCCAACAGTCGAGCACGCAACCACCCAAACAACTGGGCCAAGTTCGTCGATTTTCTCTTTTCGTCTTTTTCTCATTCTTCGCGATGATGTCTGATGTCGATATTTACCCTCGACCCTTTTGTCTTTCTCATCGACCTTTCGTGTAGGTGCAAGATTGCTTTATCAACTTGCGGCCCAGTTTCTTTTTTGGATTCCAGCTAAACTTTTCTCTATCTACAAGCTCGTTTCTACTTTAACGTTTCTTTTTAAGGCTGTGCTAGTAACGTTGAGAAACGGCGAAAAAGAATGAAGATACTGAGAGAGCTTATTTTCAACAAAGAAATGGAACTTCAATTTCAAAGGCTTTTTTAGCTCAAGAAAAGACTATTTTACCTGAAAAAAATCATTTCGGAGATAAATAAAATGAATGGAACAAATTTGTTACTTTGCATATTCAATTAGAAATTTAAATAATTTATTTCCATTTAAAATATAATCCCTTAATAGTGAAGTATTTTTTGTTTAATAATTTATAAATTAAATTACGTTATTACTTGATCAATCTAAGTTATTATTCAAAGTCTAGAGAGCACTTACTATAATAAATTGACCATACTATATATTCACATATGATTGTCAAGCATAGTGGTGTCGAAAGTATAGAATGTTTTGATACAACAAAGCCGGTACTGCCATTCATATGATGACGCATAACATCAACTGATTTCGTCAATTTGTGTAAAATTTTTCCTAAGGCATTGACTGAAAATAGTGGAATATTCGTAGTTATAGATCAACAGTGAGAATTTTGGTTTTGAACATTGTGAACAGAACAGTAAATATACATATACCTTCAATCAACTTGTTATTGCATCAGCTAAAATAACTTTCGTTTCTGTGTTCCGTTAGGTTTATTGAAGAATAATGGATCAACTGCGAACATTTAAATTTTACCTCGATGGAAATTTGATAACACCACGTGATTTGCACTACAACTTTAGAACTAAAGTGCTTACGTATAATATCGAAATCGAAATTGGTTATTTGGACAAAAATGATGGACGTTTTCACTTCACAGCTGACTTTCATACAAACGTCATTTGTGATATCGGACTAGATAAAAAAAAGAAAAGTATCGTATCTAATACGTTTTCAAATAGCATCTTATTTGATGGATTCTCAGATGCAGATACGGGTAACGAACAGACCAAGTCAATTTTTCTGAAATCACTTCGAAAAATAAATGAATTGACAGATGATCCAAATCAAATCAAACGTGCTGAAGAACAGAATCCTGAAATTCATATTGATATTTTTAAATCTCAAAGTAATCAGATATTCAATAAACTAAATTTAGGGACTTCTTCTAATGGTAATAAAATATTTTTATTTGGCAATTCGAGTTGTACATTCGGAAGTACTTCTAAAACATCCGAAGGTATTTCAAAGCCTGTATTTGTTGAGACATCACAAGTTAATACTTCTACATGGAAAACAGTTGATTGTACAAAAGAGGAGAAAATAATGACTGTAAAAGTCATAATTATTATTGTTGAGAAAGCTGAAGACAAAACATTTAAAGTAATATAAATTAAAAATTGTTAATTATTGTTCTATATTTTTATTAACTTATCTTCATAAAATATCAATATGTTATTGAGATATTCTTCTATATAAAAATAAATAATTCCATAATTGAAAATATTTTTCTCTTTTGATATTGTAGTGTTTTTATAATTTTTGCAATTTCCAAAAAATATAAATCAATTATAGAAAATATTTAACTATTTCCAATTACGTTTTATAAATTAAATCTATTGAATTTATGTGAATAAATTAAATATATTAAAATACATAAAATTATTCTATTTTTTTTTATAATATTTTTAAAAAATATGTAAGACGCCTCGAGCGAAAAAAGATAAATACATAAAAGTTTATGGACTGTTACATCGTAGCTACCCTACACCAATTCGGTGTTGAAATTACACTGACATTAATATTCTTACATTTTTATTTTAAATTTTAGAACTACTATCTTACTTATTTTTCTTAAATGTAGTAATGGGTATAGCGTCCACATAAATGTTGGGTAAATTAAAAATAAGATAAACATTTTTATTTTACTTATGTAGATATCTCTTTCAAATATTATTATATTCTTTTACTTTTCTTAAACTAATAGTCCAGTAGCCAAAAAAAATACCTAGTTAAACTTTTTATTTTCTCCGCTTCCATAGCAAGAACGGTGATAGACAGGAGGAATAATGAAGATACTATTTTTGTAGAGAATCGAATTCTCTGCGAAAAAGTATGCGAGAGCACCTGTTTATCTAAATCAGGTAAAAAAGTGCAGTGCTCCAAATACGCACTCGAAAATGGACTTTTGAAATCATACTAAAATACCTGCTAACTGTTATGTTTTTCCATTTGATTTTAGGTCCATTATTTCGCCTCGGAAAGGCATTGTCTCCAGCTAGTCTTCACATAACATCTTTTTTGATGGATTCTTTCAAGTATAGAGAATGGTATAGTACAAATCAAGTCGATTTTCTTGAAATCACTTCAGAAAAACCAGTTTTTAAAAAAAACTAATAAACGATCCAGCTTAAATTTAATGTGCCGAAAAATAAAATGCTGAGTTTCATATTAGTATTTTCAAATGCCAACGTAATCAAACTGTACCATCTAATCATCGTTATAAATTAAAAGGAATCGCCAATTTTAGCACACAAACAAGATATTTCAGAGGCTGTATTTGTCAAAACACTACAATTTAATCCTATGAAGTGGACAAAAATCAGTGGCAAGATAATGAAAAAAATTATGAACATGAAATCGTTTTTACAATTATCGAAAAAGTTGGAGATAAAAAATTATATGTAATAGAAGTTTAACATTGTCAACGATCTGTTGTAAATTTTCATTCTTTAAATATATTTGCGTAGCTAAAAAATTGTTTTCATGAAAGTTAAATAATTTTATAAATAAAATAATCCTGCTCTTTCAATACAAGAAGTGTGGCTTCAGTAATTTATATTTAACTGAAAATAAAGATGAAAAATGATGAGAAAAAACTGTGTAAGTAATTGGATGTCACTGTTCAACTTTTGAATTGGAATAAATTTTTTACACCTTCTTTTTTGTTGCAGATAAATGTAAGTTGCAAAAAAAATCTTCATTTTATTTACGTAGAAATCGCTTTTATTTTCTTATATTTTTTTTTTCTTTTCTCATTTTTCTCTTATTCTTTAAGCCTTGTCATCCCCGGAGTCCCTTGTCTAACTATATATTGAGACTTTTCCTACAGAAAATATTATCATTGTCCTCAGATCTTTTTCACCACATATAACCCACGTAAAATGATAAAATATAGAATCTGAATAGTAGAAAAAACTTCATTTATCATTGAATAACTAAAGAAAAAAATTAATGTTATCATTATACTCTTTATTTGACTTCAATTGATGCGAAAATGATATATGCATTGGTGATATTTTTAATTATTAAAAATTGCCGGAGATGATTCATTTAGCAAGAAGTATATATCGATTAGCGATAAATCAAGCCATAGATAAAAATGATAAATGAAAGTAGGAAGAAAAACGACTATCATTTACAATAGCTTCGATCTTTCCCCTAAGACTTAAGTACATTTTCTTTTTTGCTGACGCTTCTTATTTTTTTTAACTGTCTCAGAATCTGAATCAAAACCACAAAAAATCTTAATTGGTCTTTGTTCTATCATGAATAAAAAATACGACATTCTTTTCTTGTGTAGTAAATTTCATCATAAAAAAATACCAGATCTTTCATTATAATATTTTTCTCCAACTTTTTCAACGATGTTGCTTTTATTATTATGTCTACTACTGCTGTAAACAGCTCCATAAATTGTTAATCATCTTTGAGTTATATAGCATCCATTATTATTTTTCATAACCATTTTCATTACTACTTGTGACAATAACAAAAGCCACAGTAACAAAGAAATAGTGAGTTGTTTACACTCCTCTCAAGAGATGAAGTAGTTCAAAAGCAAAGAAAGTACATAACAGAGAATAGGCTCCAATCGAGCATTTCATCGATGTCTGCTATTGGCAACACCGTTCAAACCTTTTAACTCGTCGACAGTTGGTTTCCTTTCTCTTTTACGCCTTACAGTTTTTATTTGCACCTTCACGGTTACTTTCAAGTCATACTTAATTTTTTTCAACTTTTCTTTCACCTCTAGCTATATTTTATACTTTTTCTTATCATATATTATACATAAAATCCTCCTCTTATTCTCTTCTCTACATTTTTATCTCCTTATTTTCATCAGAAAAAACCATTTTTTACTCTCCACCACTTTTATATTAATAAAAGTCTATTTGTTTCCTTCATTTCATTTTATTTGAATGATAAAAATTCAAATTAAATTGATTTTTATTCACTTACTCGTCTTCTTGCCAATTGCTGATCGAGTCGATGTCTGCAGCCTATAAGACACTCCCATATTCCAGCTCCAGATCGTCCATTTTGATAGTGAGTGCTTCCATTTCCATTTTGATATCGATAATCTTCTTCAGCGAACTCGTAAACATCCAGAGGAAATCTAGAATCATCTGGACTGCCAAGCAAGGCCGTTGCTGAAAGCTGATGGCTGCCAGAACCTCTGGAAAATAATTAAAAGATCAGAAAAAATTTAATCCACTCACTTTTATGGATTTTCTTTTTCATTATTACATGGATTAAATTACACAATATCGGAAAACCTGTTTATCAGGATTGTTTATTGTGCCAATGTTGTTCTGAGTGAAAGGAATGGCTTGTTTAAATGTGATTCTATTGGCCATGAACCAATACAGGTGCTTTCAGAAGCGTCGACATTTGTATAGAGCAATGGAGAAAGGACACTACAACTGAGATATGAGGGTGGAGAATGGAGACAGAGAATAACTTGGGGACTCTGCTTTACAATACAATGAATATTCTGCTGACACGCCTGACGCTCCCCTATAGTGGAGCATAGTACCATCGTCGAGCTCTTGCATTCAAAATTATCACAACTCGCCACAATGTGGGATGCTTCACGCGACCCGATTCTCCGGATGACTAGTTCTTCGATTCCAACCAACAACTACCGTATATCATCCAATATAATCACTTATTATTCCTATTATCTTTACCCTTTTTCAAGCCGATTGTACTAGAAATTTTCATCAACTTCTTCGGTATGTTCCAAACTTTGGTTGAGAAGTGAGTGTATTTGACAATGGACCAGATATTTGTTTGTATGAATGTATAATTATCATTATCAAGCTCTAATTACCATCCCTAACTAAAGATAAAGTTGATTTTATAATATTTTATATCAGTTTTTACTAATGTATTAATAAATTTTCTGATATAATAATCAACTATGTGAGAGCTTTTGTAACATTCAATAGAATTAACTGAAAATAAACTTTTTGCCATGAAATGTGTAATAAATTAAAAATATAATTCTACAGATGAAATAATCAGAGAACATTAATTCTTCTATTTTAGTAATAATTATTGATTTAACTTGTAATTTTCAATTGAAGATAATTATAATAATTCCTTAACATTTTTCGCAAATGATCATCAATAAAAAACACCAATCAATATCTGCTATACAATTTGTACTCTTTGTTATTTTTCAAAAACTTTTTACTGAAGTTTACGACACAATAATACAAAAAAGATTACTAATCAGGAAGTTAATCAGGATATTTATGAAATTAAAACAGTTTTTATCCAAATTTTTTGTCCATGTGGTATGTTAGTTCTGGTTGAGCAAAGAGAATGTATAGATAAAGATAAAGGACTGTTGGCTGATTGCCCAGGAGTCCGAGTTTGTGAACTTGTGGCATTGGCTATTCTAGACACGGGGATGGAATCACGCTTTGAGCCTCTTTTCTCTTCTGTCATTTTCAAGCCTCTGCAATGCGACTGCTGCAGCCTCGAAAGTATCTAATAAATCATATTATGTATTTTTTGTTTAGATACTTTTCGTGAAGGCGGAAACAAATGATAGTTATTAAAGTATCATATAGTAAACTCATCAAAAATATACATCCATAAAATGAACACTCTTACTTTTATTAGTGAATTTTTATATCATGTCGATGTAGAGGATATAATCCTTGAACTATGACGTTAAAAAATCTCTCTTGTTAAAGTATTTTTGTCCGTGGAATAAACTGGACTTTTATGATATGACAGCTCGTTAAATTTACTGTGAGTGTACTCAGAACAAATTCAAGTGTTTAATAAACTTGAAGTGTTTCTTTGTATTACTTAATGTCGCAAAAATGTAAATAAATATTTTTAATTGTGTTTTTAATTTTAAAAAATAACTGCAATATTAAACTGCCATTTTTCGCAAAATTTAAAAGCCACTGAAAAATATTCAACAATTTATTTTAATAAATTAATGAAACTCTCCTAAATTTCAAGTATTTTTTATACTCTCGAATTACTGACGTCAATGAATCAATGTAATACTTTGTAATTAAATTAATTAAAGTTTATTTTAAACTTATTTAAATTTTTTCTTCGATGATATATCACTCAATTAAAACAAAAAAATTTTTTATTAAATTAACAATTTTTTCTATGCTCTTTAATTGGTAAAAAAATGTTGCATAATTCTTCATTGAATTTGTGAACAAACTTTATCTACTTCTTAAGTGTTTTCTGTGCTCTTAATTTATCGACGTCAATGAAAGAATGCAAGACCTATTACTTTAATTAATCAAGTTAATTTTAAGCTTACGTAGATTATCGAAAATATTCTTCAAAATTTCATAAAATTTATTTTAACTAGTTTAATTTATTAACCATTCCATCACAAAGTTCTGCAATTAATATTGAAAATAAATTTTCATTATGCCTTAAAGAGCTTTAAAGGAAAAATCTAATGCTTATCTCCTTTGAAAATCATGTTAAAAGCATAAATTTTTATCTATACACTGATATGTGTAGATAAATGTCACTTAACATTGCAGTGATCTCAAAGTGATTCGTTAACTCTTGTAATAAGAGCAGTTTAATTAATAGGTAAGATGAAATTTAATACAAACCCGAGATAATTCTTGGACGCAACAGACTCCCATGACATGGCTGTACCTCTTCTGCTTTTGTTCCACTCCAACTCGTTCGAATCCTCTTCTTCTCCCTGCGTCCCCCAGTTCCAATCTCATCTCTCTTTAGTGTCATTATCTCCAACACCACTACTACACGTACATGCCACACTTAGGCAATACATGCCAATTTCACTTTTAAATCAACACTTGTCACCACCAAATTTACTTCTTTCTACTTCAATCCACGTTTGTTTTCTATGATTTACTACAACACTTGTTTTATCGTAATGTAAAATAATACTATGATGTACTACTTTTTCCCTAATTCTTATTTTCTTCTCCACGTTTGTAAATTATCTCCAACAAAAATGTGACAATTTCCAGCTTTGAATCACTTGCAAATGTATCCAGCTGACACATAAGTCCCAGATATCATTTTACAGTGCATTCTACCCAGCCTTCGTTTCATTTAAAAATGTGCAAAAATTTTTTCGCTCTACTTTTATTCAAAATGCTTGAAAAAATAACTGAAATAAGAATAAAAATTATTGTTAAAATGATTACAATTCATTTTTAATGGCTGAAAACGAAAAAATTCTGAACGTCTGACTAAAATTTCTCTGTACTACTTGCCTTTCTTCTTATTTATTTTATTTTCAAAAAATGGAAATTTTTATTAAAGATAATGAATATATGCAAGTAATTATACCCTCGTATAAGATAATTTTTTAGCATATTATTGTCTTTTACTATTATTATGATGATTATGACGATACTAACAAAGATATATTTTTGTTTGCAATCCTCTTCTTGTCTTCTTGCTTTAATCACTTCTCTCGTAGCTAAAAGATAGAATTGTCTACTGAGTCGCGTTTCACCTCGTTGCGTTTCACAAATTGTGCTGAGGTTTAATTACTCTGCTTGTTATCACATTTTATCATTTCTTATGAGTACTAATAAAATTTTTCTACTTATTTTAAACAAGAGGTCGTGGTCTCTTTGTTGCATTTCTTTCTTTGCTCTCTTTGCGTTACTTCTTTATTAAGCTTTTTTTTGCCTTAAAAAAAAATATAAATAGCCTTGAGGAATTTGCATCTTATCGCTTACTCTTACAAATCTTGATCACTCAATCTCGTTTTTATTATACTTTTTAATAAATCTATTTATAAATCATCATTATAAATGAAATAATTAAAGTTAATTAAATTTATTTATAATTCAATAAACTGAAAAACAGTTTATCAGGATTAAAGAATTATTTAAAGAGAGTTATTACAAATGAACAAGAAAGAAACGTTTGACTTTATTTTTATACAGAGTCCTTTTTAAATTCACTCAACCTGTCGACTCAATGTTTCACGAAAGCTTTATAATTGGATGTTCATTTGCGAATTTCTAGAGCAAAAATTATACTTTTATAATTCAACATGAAAAAGAAAAATATCAAAAAGAAAAAAAAATTAATTAAAAAAAAAGAATAATAGCGTTATATTCTTTTGTTAATTTCAAGTAAATTGAGCTTAGAATTGCTGAAGCTAGGAAAAATTCCGAGCGAAAGAGTAAGAATAATATTTGGGGCGGGGTTGATGAAACTTTTCGGGCGCCTTTCGCTTACGCTAATTAACTCACTTGCTTTTTTTTCAATATTAAAAACTCCTAATTTTATATTTTAGTATTTCCCTTACTATGATACTGATTCACGAACTAAATAAAAAAAAATATATATACTCACTTATTTATTATTTTATAAAAATATGAATGGTCAATTTATTATTATTTTGATTAAAAAACTTTTTAATGCACTTGAATTTTTAATTTCACTTATTATTAGGACATTTGATTCCTATTATATTTAGCTGTTTAATTAAATCGATTAGAAAATAAAAGAATAATGTGTGAAAGTTTTACGAATTCGTATAAATAGCCGAGAGATCAAGGAACGTAAGTAAATGGTGCGACGGTCGAGGGAGAACTGTCGCGCCAGAGCCGCAGCAGCCCGCAACTTTGCCACCCCTTCTCTCAATTCACCCCTCTTTTCGTCATGGCCTTCTTCTCGGTCAGCCAGAGCTTCGCCTACATCTCGTTATCCACCCTAGGCTACTATCGGTAAACTTCTTAAGCTGTATCTAAGCTTTAAGATATATAGAAACTAAACATCTCGGTTTATCATGAGGCATATGACCTTTGAAGTATCTCCCTGGGGGTGCGACGATATGAGAATACAACCAGAATAAGCATCAGGCTAGTGTTTTGGGTAATTTAAGACCAAGAATACGCTTGACTAACATAAGTGGAACAAGGCACAATTCGTCAGACACACTCTCTTCATCCTCTTAAATAATGCAAATGTGGGAGTAAGGGCTTTTATGAGGTGGATATTTTTTTACTTCATCTGGAGATGAATAAACAAATTCTTTCCAAATCACTTATCGATCTGGACTTATTTGATTGATGTTTTTTTTCGAAATATCCTATGTATGAACTTACTGATTAGTTTATTTAGTTAATTATTAAAAACTTTACAGTTTTTTGGAAAAACCCTTTGGTTGTTTATTGAATTTCCAAAAAAAAAGTTTAAAGTGTAATTTATCAAAAAATGTCAAAGTTAATATATCAGTTAGCAAAAAGTAATTTTTAGCAACACCTTTTTTACTGAAGTTTAATGTTAGTTATATATGGTGTGTATATCTGGTAAAGGTAATTATTAGAAAATGTTTGTTATTATTGGATGAAGAGTACTTTGAAATCAGTTTAATACTGAATGATACAGAAGTTGAGTAAAATTGAATATATACCTGTGAGGTATGATTTTGATGTCTGTTTTCACGTGAGAAAATTCAATTAAGCTCTTAAAGCTAAGTTAGCAATATTTTTCACATGTATTTTGAAAAAAATTATTATTGAATTATCTTTTAACTATTAAGAAAGATTGGTGATTTTTAGTTGTTACAAATTTTATTATCATTAACTACCAACATAGAATGATGTAAGGCTTATAAAAATAAATTGTTACATTAATGTGGTTGATGCATCAAGTTTTAAAAATTCAATTTGGTATTTAAATTGACTGAGAATTATTTTTTTTCACTATTCCATCAAATATTCAATAATGAGGCATTTCAATAGCTTGAGGCGTCAATAAGATTTACCTTGCTGCACGTTTTTATTATTTTCTATTTTATTTTCACCCTCTTCTCTATGTTCTACTTTCTCTTACGTTGATTTTACGTTCAACCAGACACGATGTCGTTCGCGTTATCGACGTCATTCATATCCCCAACGATAAAAGATATCAAATCGTTCCAAGTCCTCAGGCGAAAGGTACAAGGACTAAAAATTCAGAAGATGAAATGAAAGTCTCGAGGCAGCAGATTTTCAAGCCTCCCACAGTAATACTGCACTTGTGAGTGTGGATTTCAACGAAAGAAAAATAAGATTTTTGTTTAGATAGAATGAAGACTTTTAAAGAAATGCTTTCTTTGATAAATGCTCCAAAAATCAGTTGAAAATTTTTTTCTTTCCATTTATCTTCATTCTTTGTTCAACATTCGATCAAATTTCCTCGAAGTACTCTATTTAAATCCAATTATTAAAAAAAAAACTTTTAATTCTTTTGTGTCAATTGATTTTTTATTTAAAAATATTTCTTTTATTGAATTTTTCTTTTTATTTTTACCAAACAATAAAAACAAATTTACATAGCTTAATTTTCTATTAAAATTTATCATTTTCCAATTATATTATTATCTGAATGAACAACGAAATCATTTTAAATATTTTCCGGTACTCAAAAAAGCCAGTGAATTCAATCATAAAAATTGAACAAAATTATAAAAAGACAGATTTGAATGGTTCACTTTTTTTAACGCTATTATCGAAAAATTAAAATTCGTTTCAAGTTTGAATAGTGAGTGTTGAGTAAATTGCTTTATCATTTACTCTACTACATCAACGATTATTTTTCGATCAAAAAATTCCAATTACTCCAATACTGTGCCTATTATATCATGAATCTTGCAAATTACATCAAAATAACTAGATTACACTGCCTGCCATAAGATCAGATAATGTAATGCGATTACGAGCTAATTATGGATGGACGTGCATGAAAATATATTGCTTTTGACATCATATATCTTCTATATCTATTCTACGGTACTACAGAATATATTGCGTCGTGTATAATTATACCAAATAAACCAGTAATGCGTTCAATTGAATTCCTCACAAAAGTATCTGAGGCCATTGCTAAAGCCGTGCTCTATTGTGGTCGAGACTTTGAAGAATGGTCAGATTAAGGGAGTTCTAAAAACTACGTAACTCCTTTTACGTAACTCCTATCGATTGAACGAGACAACTTTTTCTTTTACACTAGGAGATAGGTTCATCGAAAGTCAGACGTTACGTCCTATGCTACTTTGTGTCTCGTGGAAAAGGTCTTGTATGAACCTCGCACGTTTCATCTACATACACTAATGAAAGTTCAGTTCAGTTTAGCCTTTTAAGACAAACATATTCCAACTACTCCGACACATTGTTTGCATCTCTTTATTATACAAAGTTAATATCAGTTTTGTACGAGTAGTAATTTATATTCGATAAACGTTGCTAGAGTTGGAAAGAATGTGCACAAAGAGAAATGGATCTATTGACAATGTAATGCTAATACATCTGTAACATATTTTTTCAATATTCAAGGAGGACTTTTTTGTAATTTAGAAGAAAATTTTATAATGAAATGATCGTTATTTATTATTCAAATACTTGCCGAGAAAACTTGTTGAAGAAAAAAAAAGTTTGTAAAATCGATTTATTCGTATCCAATAATGTATTTGTTGTTTATTTAAAAATAATAAATATGTTCTGTCAGAAATATTATCGTGAGATAAATTTATATAGTGTAAAATTGTTCGGGTATATTCCAATACTTTACAGCAATAATATTTTTTTTTTTTATTCTGAAAAGTAGAAAAAAAAACATTAATTTATGTCTATATTTATTCGTATAATGTTCTGCTGTTTGATAAAAACTTATTGGTTATATAATAGTATTTAGCTGTTGGAAAAAAATACAATCGTCTATTATTTAATGAATGTTAATTAAATCTTTGAAGTTAGTTCGTGATTTATCAAAAAAAATTTTAAGTAGAATTATCTAATTTTGTTCAGACACTTTACCATTGCGGTAGATGAAAGAGTTTGAAACAGTAATAAATGTTTCTAACACAATAAACAATTGTGGTATTTTTAATAAAGAGAATTCAGAATATTATTTGTATAAAAATATTTTCTTTAACTACCTGAGAACAGAAAAGAATGTCATAAAAGTTGTCAGAATGTTTTAATAATTTATATTTTTTCCTGCAACAAAAATATACCACGCAATACTTGGAATCAAATTCAATCTACAGGAGGAAAGTTAGTAAAATGCCGTTGAAAGGATAAATTAAAAGTAGCCTGTATGCTTAGGAAATAAAATCTGGAGAATTAATCTACTGAATGGAGATTAGTAAGAAATCTAGAAGACTTTGAAAAGTAAACTTTTGTTTCCTGATATCCTTGATAGGATTTCACTGGTACGATCAAGAGCATCGAATTCAAGTCCTAGTATCCTAGATCCTTGTCGTGTTGATAGAGTAAGATAGAATGGAACATAAGGGGGAACTAAGGGTCCTATAAAAGAGGACGAGGCATTGGCCCCTCGTGAACTTTCAGCTTTGGCAGATGTAGGTGGGTATTCCTGCTCGCCAAATCCTGGAAGGAAGATGGCAAGTGTGAGGGAATGAGGAAGAGAGGGCATGTGACCTGTTTTCCATCCTCGTCAGGTCGGGGTCTAGCAAGAGTCGCGCGTTCCTGATGCGAGGACGCACGAGTATCACCCGAATAAAGCCGAAAGCTTCATAGAGGTGCAAAAGACGGAGAGAGAAAGCAAAATTGGACTCTCTTGTGTTCTGTGCTATGCTCCACTATATATGTACTGATGCAGCCCGACCACGACCTCGCCAGTACGCTCAACATCCTCTGTCCTTATATCAGGGGTGCGCGAGCGCACCATACCTACTTACTGAAAAATTAAATCTCTCGATCTCTTCTCCACCTTCTTACTTTCAACTTCCACCGACTACAAAGACTCCTGCATTTTTTATCAAAGAAATCTCTCTTTTCTTCGTTTTTTGATAATGTATTCAAGGATTATCTGCAATATTGCTTATCACTACTTCAAAATTCAACAACCGGTGTAATAACATGTCATATTAGTCGTATCATATGCAAGAAGAATTTCTATCCATATTTTAATAATTGATATCTTATCTTTTTTTTCTTTTAAAATAAAATAACAAATTAACATATCTTTTATAAAATATCTTTTTTATTAATGAACACTTAAATTAAAAATATTAAAATTAAATTATTTTTTTAGATTCTTTTTTAAATAATTTTCTCTCAACTTTTTGAATACTTAATGATGAAATAATGAACCTAATCAACAAAAACTATCTTGACCGTTACTAATTCGAGTTTAATTTTTATTTAATAATTGATCTCATTCATTATAATAATATTACTGTAACTATCATTTAAGGATCTATGAAATTACATTTAGATATAATATATTCATAATTAATCATCAGTTACTCTTTAGTAATGTATGAATAGGATAAGTTCATCGTTTAGCAATACAATAAAGTTTCGATTTAAACACTGTTCAATTCATCAATCATCACATTATGAGTTATTATCAAAATTGCTTTCATCGTTTTTATTTAATATCATTCATACAAAGTATTTTTTTGGTTAATTTAATTCTAGTAATCTAGAGTATTTTACAATTGAGGAACAATTTAATTTAACAATATCCCGAATATTTAGCTCTTATTGACTTCCGCATTACAGTGCAGTTAATAATCACAGCAAAATCACTAATGGGAATATTACGGTACAGCTGGTAATAGAGACGAGGTGGTTAATTGGTACCTCCATCTTAACACGTATGATGCAAATAAGAACCCTTAATGAGTCACTAATAAGTGGAATTACATATTCATTTCATTTTATGGAGCTGTTTCTAGTAACTATTTTTTTTCATTAACTATTTTAAAAATTCATAATAGCAAAAATATTTTTACAAACTTTTTTTGCTCAAATACAAAAAAATACGAGAATGCTTTAGAATTTTTATTTTTATAATAAAATTACAGAGGTTCAATAACGTAAATACAATTTAATTCTACAGAATATTTTTCTATAATAAAATCAGTTGAATTTTTGTTTATGCTAAAAATGTTGTCGTTTAGTAACTCTTTAGAATACTGTAGTTAATATTAATTTTATTGAAAAAAATTATATTTAACTAGTAATCCATAGTATGTCATATAAAATACATTTAATTTCATTTTTAGAATCAGCTTTCGTATCATTTGAAATATTTACTCTTTGACATTTTGTAAAGTTAAAAAGATGAGAAGACTTTTCAGAAAAATATACTCTTCTTTTATTTAAAATTTTTTTCGTAGTAGTATGATACTTGGAAAAACCATTAGATAAAAGAGTTCTGTTTTTTTTTATATTCTTTATTTTAATCTTTCATGCAATTCAAGGGTTTAATAAAATAAATTTTTTCTTCTTTTTTCTAAAATAACAAAGTTTAACCCATCCCTTTCTATCAAACTGAAAGATCCTTTTTTACTATAAACGATAAAACTACTGTCAGATTTATTTAATAGTATTAAATTGATGTAAATCCATTTAATTTATTTCCCTCGTCTCAATCCAATTTTTATTCGACTTTTTATTTATTTAAAAAATTCCAGGAAAATGTGCACGTGAGATTGAAATATTATTTCGACGCTGATTTAGTAAAGTATGATGAATTGTTTGTTGTAGAATTTATTTTGAATTGACATAACAAGAGGAGTCAAAAAGACTCGAGTGTTTTATGCTTCGGATAAAATTTAACGCTCGACCCAGTTTTAAAAGCCAATGTATCCCGATATTCCCAATAACTCTGAAAAATTGTTCCCTTCTGTCTTGCATTTGTTCATGCGTAACTGTCGACCAACATTTCTTCTATTTCACTCTTTATATGTATTCTCTTCCATCTTTGCGAATTTTTTAAGGATTTATACTTCTTAAATTCTACTAAAGCTGACAAACGGATCTTTTGGTGCTGTTATTTTACTTCAAAGAAACTTGTCAATTCAATGCTATCACTTTAATGGATTTACTGTTGAAATTTTTCAACTTTATTAATTTAACTTTTTTCCTTTACGATACCAAACTAAATTATAAGAAATTTTGAAGTTTTCTTTTCTTCTTTTTTCGATTGAATTTATAATTAATTTCTACAAAAAAAAAGTTCTCCTAATGAAAATCAATAAACTTGTTAGATTTTGAAAAAAAAAAATATTTCAAATAGTTTAACAGTCATTTGTAAACTGACGTAAAAGAGAGATAGCAGAAGAGAGGTTAAATCGATGTCTGACAGGGTGAATTATTGATGAATGCGAATGATAACGAGATTCGAATATGTGTTGTTAACTCATATGTATGTGCAAAAACATCGTTGAATCAGAGAAGATGTAAAATGCATATTCGAAGTAAAGGGATGGAGAAATTTACGGGTGAATCGTTTGGATGCTCGTGGTTGGTATATGCTCATGTGAGCGTAAGTAGATTAACCACAGTCAAAGTACTCTAGAATTGGCAAGTGCGAAAAGTGGCCGCATAATCTCTTGTTTTAGTTGCTATAAACGTAATCAATACTTCCATGCAACTAAATTCCTATTAAAATTGTTTTCTCTTTAACAATAGTTTCGTATTAACGTTGATTCTCTTTTGAGTTTTTATTATGAGATTATAGTAGGGATTAGCGTTCAAAAAACCCATAAAATAATTGAATTGAAGCCAGAAAAATTGTTCGATAAATGAAAGGAAGCTTTTATTTGTATATATAAAAGATGATGATTAGTTTTTCAATTAAAAGATTAATGAATGATTCCAATTAACACCACTTGAATAGGGGTTTAGTTTATTTAAATAATTAGTGTTAATTAAATTATAATAATAAAAAAAAATATTTACTGATCAAATTATAAGAAATATAAATATCAATGAATAGTTAACTTGTTGCTTGAACAATAAATAAATATTTAGTTTACTGAATTTAATTGTATTTAGTAAATAAATTCTATTGTAATGAAAGATTGACCATGTGTAAAATACATAAAATCGTTTTTTTTTTTTTTTTATTTTGAAAAAATTATTAGTTTACATTTTAACTATCATGTTTTTTTAAGTTTACAATCTTATTTGATTCTGATTACTCTGAATGATGCTGATTTAAATTATTTAATGATAATATTATCAAGTTTGAGAATGAAATAAACTCGTAGTCAGAATTGTGACTTGAATTAATACTAGAAGAGAAATAGATGTAAAAAAGATGTGAACGTGAATAAAGACATATCCTGACTCTTCAAAAAATTAGAGCAAAAACATGATGATTTCTAGTACATACTCAAGTGATAAAAAATGCATTAAAAGTTTTACAGTCTACGTGTACACAGTCTGTCAATATAAAAAAACATCATCAAGTATCTAATTCAAATTACCAGAGTGTATCTTTCATTTTTTTTACGAGGGTATAAAATGCAACGAATTTATCGTTCACCGTTCAACCTTTTTAGCATCGTCAACGCTACTGTATACAACCCCCAAGGTGTCAGTTCGACGAGAACAATCACATGACATACAAGCTATAAAATTGAGAAAAAAAACTCGATTTTCAAACTAAATTTATTTATGGTTATTTTTTTATTTAAATTTATGCACTTTTTTCTTTTGACATTCTTATGAGACTAAATTTATTCAACGAAAATTATTAAAAAAAAAAATGTCAATCATGGGTATAAAAAAGAGATAATTCTTTATTTATTAAAAAATATTCAAACATAATTCTAAAACTTGATATTTGTTCAGCTAAGATTTCAATTAATAAATGTTATTATAAAATCTGATGTAATCAAATAGATTAAATGAAATAATATTCTTCAACAAAATAGAATAAAAAAATACAAGATTCCAGAAAACTATCGGAAAAAATCAACATTAATTTCCTAATGATTGGCGTGTGACGATAACCATTAGCAATGTACATCTCCAAGCTGAGTTTTCCGTCTCTTGTCTTTTGGATTGTTGCCAAGATAATTTTAGATTTTATTCGACGCTCAATAGACCATTCTAATTCCCCGAATCTGTGGTGTACACCTTCCCAATTGACGTTGTATTTACATTTGAGGAGTTTATCATCATGAACAGAAAGAGGAAAACTTTTTCCTCTACACAAAAAAATAAACTACTCCTACTAGGACTTCACACTAATAAATTCTATAAAACAAAATGAATGAGTGCAAAAAATACTGATGTTAATGCTAATTTATTTTTAAACATTGCTTGACAAATTTTCATTGAAAATGTCATGCAATTAGTAATGAAACCTCAGAGAGGTGAATGCAAGTAGTTTAGTTCGACTGTTAGCTCCATTGAGTGGAGTTAGTGAGCTGAGAAACGTTTGAAAGTGAATCAGTAAAAGAGTAGGTAGTGCTAATTAATGATAAAAGACCCAACCCATGTAGGAAATTTTGCCAAACTCATGCATCTATGACAAGGTAGTAGGCGGAGTTTATCATGGGTCCGAAGACATTTTCTCGTATTGCAATTGGCCGGGAATTTTAAAAATAGTCAAGACTGGGCTGTGACTGTGACACATGTAACACGTAAATATCCAAACGCATGTCTCCGTGGTCTGGGGTGCCAAGACATCTTTTGAGAGGGAGAAGAGAGTTTGAGATGTGAGAAAGAGACCATGTGCCATCAGACGGAGATATTACCCCAAGATGCTTACTAACTTTTCACTCTGATCTCTAACGTCGGACTTAAAACACATGCGTATAAAATCTAGTGACATTTTAATTCATTTTTTTCATTTTTATCATTATTTTTTACACTAAAATTAACACTATTTACAACTTTTAACAATCATATTCTAAACATTATTTATGTATACAGTTGTTCTTATTTTCAATCAATGGTTAACTAATTAATTCAACAAGTGCAGAGTAAATAGATAATAGGTGATCAACTAGTGTCTTGGATAGTGCCTTAAAATATGTGCTGTGTTGAATAAGTTGATAAAAAGAAATCTAGTGTTATTAATTAGAAGTAAAGATAATTTTTTTAAAGCCTTTTTATTGACATCTATACATTTATAAGTGAAATGATGACCCTGATGACAGACGTAGGAGTTTATCCCTACGAAGCTAGACTATCATATGAAAGTTATCATCCACATCGTCATCGGCATTTTTATAGCAACACCGATACTGGATATTTGCAGAGCTATGTATCGGAAAGAGATGAACATCCATCAAGAACTCGAAGTGTCGATAGTGTAACTTCACCAGAAAGTATTACTTCTGGCCACTATCGACATGATAATCTTATCAGGTTTGCTCAATTTTTATTTCATTTGAACTTCTGATAGTTCATTAATAATTTTAGCATAGCCATCATTCACTCTATGGATTTTTAATTTCAACTTTTTTAAGTTTAAAATTTTATCATCATTTAACAGACATAACTATTATGTTATTTAAATTTTTTTAATAAGAAAAAGTTGAGAAATAATGAAAAAAGAGACTTGGTTAAAGAATAATTGAATTTTTTTCTTTTAAATTTATTCACTAATTTGGTTCTTGTTCTCTATTACGTCAAATAAGGTTTCAGAATAATAATGAATAATTTCCAACAATATTATACCTAGAAGAAGCTAAGTTTAATATTTAAACTACTAAGACAGTAGACGTAATGAATAGAGCATTTCAAAAATTCATTTAGTTGGCAAAAAATTCATTCTATCAAGTAAAGTAATAAGAAAGAAATAAGGAAGCTACACATGTCTTTTTCTTGGCCTTAGTAGCATAGGGTTGACACATTTATCGGGACGGTAGCAGAAGTAGGATTGAAAGTCTCACAAAGTGGGGATGAAGTTGATGTCCAACGTCAAGAAGTGACGATTACTTTATTGGCCTTTAAAACGTTTTCACTTGATACATATATAAAACATAGTCCTTGCATTTATCTATCTACTTATCTCATTAGTTTAACATAGCTACAAACTACGTAGGCAATTTATTAATAAATTAATTAATTATTTCATGACTTATAGCCTGAATTAATTTCCTAAATTATTTAGTAAAGAGATATAAAATAAATTAGAATATCAAATATAAAAAAAAAATTCATGATGTTTTAGATCACAATTCCGTTACATCCCAGACTCAGATGATGCGTCGTCAGTGGTATCAGCCGACGCATCAGCAGATCCAGAGTCAGCATCTGCCGATGGCGATGAGACTAATGAAAGTGAAGGTGTTGAACATGTTCCTCATCCACACGTTTTGGATACCAGTTCACCACATGGACCTCGAAGGTGTCTTTTGTGGGCTTGTAAAGCTTGCAAGAAAAAAACTGTCACTGTTGACAGAAGAAAAGCTGCCACATTACGTGAACGAAGACGTCTCAGAAAGGTTGGTAATACTTTTTCTGTTTTATAACAAGAAAGATAATTTCAAAGATCAAAATTTCTTGTTACCTCCATGGACAAAGATGAATCTTCTCAAAAGTCAGAGTACTAATAAATTTTATTACTTTTGAGTCGATTTAGTAATAGTTTTTTTTGCAAAGTTCCAAGCTAGCATTATTAAATCTCATAACTTCTGCGTGAATGCCATATTTAGAAACAACATACTCACGTCATTTCATTCTGCAGCTTTCAATAGGCCTTATTACATATCAATCTGGAATAGTCCTTAAATAGTGATGATTATTCGTCCAGAATAGAGCACTAGTCAATCACAGATTTTTAATTGATCAGCTAAGTCAATTAAAAAGCAGGATGAGTGCCAGATGATGTTGACCCAATAATTTTATGTCGATTTTCGTGAGATTATTCGGATGTTTTAAGATTTCCTGTTCCTTATAAGATACACGATGTTTTCTGGCAAAGTAGCTTTGTATGCCAAATCACCAGTAGCATTTCAACTTTGTCTTGCTGAACAAAATAGAATGTCTAGCTTTATTCATCTAATGTTCTTCTATAATTAGTTGTGAATAATTGACATCAGCATTGACAAAATTATTGATATTTATTTAAAGCACTTTATATAAGCCATTCACAAAATATATTAGCCTATTATTACTTTAAAAAAAAAACTAAATAATTGTTGATGAGATTTTGAAGATTATCTTGATAGGATTATGCTTTTCATCACCAAAACCTAAGTACAACAATATCAGTTGAATGTAACCTGATGATAAGATAGAGTAACCATTTATAAGAACTATACTAAGATGTCTTTATCATAGTACTTGATAAGTAAAGTATCATCGAAGTATTTGAACAGTAGCAGGATGGTCTAAATAGAACATTTCCCAGGATCTTCTGGATCCTTCTAGCGTAGTTTTCATAGTGGCTTATCTGAAGTTTAGCATTTAGTATTTATCTACAAACTTGTAGAGTAGTAATCTCAAAAGTTTTTTCAAGTTACTTGTGATGATATTTTATTTATTTAGAATAATGTCAACTTCTCTGATGATTAATATTTGAAAGTTACTTTAGTATTTATTGAAGTGCCCTTTGATATTTGAAAATTCATTTACCATTGTTGATGAAAACTCTAGAGAAGGGCTTGAACAGATTCAATTCTAAGAGAAGTTATTGTTAGATTAAAGTTCTGCTTGATTGTTTGCTTTAGTCAAGAATGTCTCGTTCTGAACGAAAAAGCAACATTTGCCTAGATATTCAATTGGAATTCTCAATTTACGTAAAATGTGATATTAAAGAAACTCTTATGCTTGATTCCTGATTTTACAATAATTAAAATTTGATCTAGGGATTATTTTTTTAGATTCTGAGAAAAACAGCTTATTCAGTAGTTATTACTTTAGGATTATCCGAATCTTTGTTGATCTTTGATTCATGGAGATTTTTTTTAAGGCTTTAAGCGTAATAAAAAGGTGGAAAAGGTTTTTTAATTTTATAAATATGATTCAGCAAATGATCTTATAATGTAATTTTTACTTTTTTATAAATAAATCAGACAGCTGATCAGATCGATCAGACTGTAGTAACAGTTAAAAGCCCAACTTTGATTGAACCCATGAGGCTACTAGCTGTCAATTCCAATTTAATTAAAACAAACTACAAGTCAGCTGACCCTGAAGGGTTGAACTCAGAACTTCTCGTATGGGAATTAAACTTCACGGACAATATCTGCCAGAGAATAATTTGATGAGTTATGAAAACCAAAGCTTCATCGATTACTTTACTCGAAAAAAATTGCTTTTTATAAAAATAGCGAAAACAATTTTTAAAAGAAAATGAATTTTTTAAATTCTACTCTTCTCACGTGATCTAATATTTAAATTCAAAAAATCTATCCTTTAGCAATATTATTATACTTTTTAATAAAGAAAGTCATAAATTTTAGGTAAACATTGACTTTAGTGGAGATATGAAATGAATTTGCTTTGTCTGACTTTGATAATTTTAGTAAAGTATTTGAAGTTTTCACAAACTATTTTTACTATAATAAAAGTCATTTTCATTTTTACAGACAAGATAGATTCTGCAGAATTTTATTTGAAAAAGTTGATTTATTTTATTCTTACTTTTAAAATTCATCCAAGTTTCAAGATCTTTAAAAGAACCAATCAATAACTAACTTCAAATACTAAATTTATGAACTTACCAATTTGATGTAAATAAAAACTTCCATTCAGTTTATTTAATAAAGTAAAATTGCAAAATAGATTTTCATAAGGTTTAAAATACTTCTGATTCCTTTGATTAAAGGCAGTGGAACTTTGTAGCATTCTACTGAGATCTGAAACTATATAAAATGATAAATTTAGTCGACTGTACTCTTTTTGACATTGTTCTATACACTATCTAACTTGTTAATTAGATCGTATCAAAAGTTTAGTAGTGCTGTATGTTGCTGTTAAAGGTAGTTTTAATTGAATTTCCGTTTAAATTGATGAGATTCCAGTAGTCTCAATGACATTGATTTCATCTGCTTGAAATTTGTCAATGTATTGAATACTAATGTCTATATACTTGATGCTTGTTTAATTCAATAAATAATTGAGTAATTAATATTTAGGTGAATGAAGCTTTTGAAGTACTCAAGAGACGAACCAGCAACAATCCAAACCAGCGATTGCCTAAGGTAGAGATTTTGAGAAACGCCATTGAGTATATCGAAAGCCTTGAGGCTCTTCTTCAAGGTAATCGGTCGTCAGGAGGTAACTCAAACCACGTCACTGCGGATAATGTGGTAAGTAAACTCATTATTCAATTTCTCGTTGATTTATTCAGCTTACGTTATGTTCAAGTGACTAAAAAAATAGAAAAAAAAATTATCTGCATTTTTGTTCACGGCAAAGTTGAAATAAGCTCATGATCTAAAAGTATAAAAATCTAAAAGCGTTTTTAGAGTATTCGATAATGGTTTCAACTTCTACCAACAAATTCTAGGGATATTTCATTGTAAAAGAAAAATCCTCTCTTTTGGACTTCTGTATGCACGTCACGACTCGATTATTGCACTAACCAAGAACGACCAATGCTAATACCTAAACTTTGGAGAAACTTTGTTATTAATTGCATCTAATTTCTTCCAGTAAAATTGTTGGATTTTACTAAAAAAATGGCATTATTGGATCAAGAATAATCATATTTTTGATCATAATATTATTAAATAAAATAATAATACTTGTACAACATAACACGAATGATAGCAGGATAGATCTACCGCATTTCTGTCTTTATACTGCCACCATTCTGGATCCATCCTGCTCTTATCTTGTCTTCGTTCGTGTTATGATATACACGTGTTATTTTTTTATTGAAAATATTATGATCAAGAATGCAAGTATTGTCGATCCGAAAATATGATTTTGTCAGTGATTGTATTAATAATGTATTCAAGTCAGTGTATCACGATAATACTTCGTTTATTGTATTAATCAACTCTCTCGAGATACTTCAAACACTTTGATGTATTTATATATGTGTATATATTTTGAATAAGCTTCTGAATAGTTTACAGTAGAGGAAGCAATTCTTTTGATGAAATTGTAGTTTATAAACGCTTGAGAAAGTTTTTAAAATATATCAAAGCTCGGGAGAGTAATTTTTTTTTAAACGATATATTTTTGAAGATAATCTTTTATAAATGAATATGTTAGTTTTATAACAAGAATGAAATTTAGCTTGACAAACTTTTGAAACTATTTGGCCCGGTATTTTTAATTATATAAAATATTTGACAAATTTTTATCAACAGTTTTAAAAGATGATGAAAAATTTTTTATCGAAAATAATATTTTATTTAAAAGATTGCTAATTAACTTGACTGAACTCAACTTTTTTGTAATTTATTTTCTCATGACTTTTTATTCAAGTATTTTTTTGTGTATTACAAAATAATGTTTAATTATTTATCTTATTTTTATTTTCATTGATGAAAATCTATTTTTATCATATCATAAAAAAAAATTTGTGTACATTTTTAGATACTTGTTGTAAATAAATCATTATGAAAATATTTAGCAGTCTTAATTTTGTAACAATGATAAACGATAGAACCACAGAAGAATTCGCGGTCGTTTAATATTTTTCAATTTGTGTATAACACATCAAAAAGTTGGAGGCTTTTATTTTGATCTTGACAGATGGTTCACACTTTCGACAAATTCCATGACTTAGAGTAACTAAGAAGTGATATAAACACCTGAATAAATGAAGAGTTGAGGCAAGTTTCAAGTAAATGCGGCACGAGATGAATCTATTCATTTGTCGGTTTCCGACAACCCGACACGGACGACAGGTTCATGTAAACAGAATACCACTCGGAGGATTCTTAAGCCCACGATGCTTTCTACTTTCTCTATATCATCGGATATACGGGGATTACTGTAGTTGAGTCTTCATCTAATAAATATTCGTACTTTAGTGATAGCAAATAAACGAGCAAGAAAAAAAAATTTTAGTCTACTGGAAAATAAATATAAAAACAAGAAAAAGTGAAGAATTAAGAGAAAATAGCTTAAAAAAATCTTTAAAAACTTCCCAGGAGTCCTTTTTTTTTGGTCATGTCATTTTTTTTATCCACTTAATCTTCCAATACTGACCCCCGCAGTGTTGTTGGTGACTCTAAAAATTTTTCTTACGTCTTTTTTCAAAGTTAATACACGTGTTAGACACGTGGACCACATACCTCTGTTACTTTCTCTTAAAAAAATTTTTTTTTTCCTCTTTATGTCCTTAGATGTCTCATTTTTTACTTTTATACTTTTTAGATTGAAACTAAAAAGTTTGATATCTCATCAATCATACGACAACAAATACAATAGTCGTAAAATATTCTATTATTTTGTGTAAATTGATTGAATTTTTTTTACAACGCAAGTGGTAGTGGTATAAACGATGGTTTGATGAATAGCCTCAAGCTTTGACGTAAATTGAACATGTCAGTATTGCTTGTCAACATGATACTGCACTGAATTTATTAAATCATATACAAAATAACAATAAAAAAACTACCGGCTGTAATTTTTTCAAATCATATTCCCTCTTCGACGTAAAACGGTTCAATTTATGGTGGTCAAGAGATGACAAGTTTATTGTATAGTATTTAATGTAACGTTCTAAGCATACATATAAAAAAAAAAATAATAAGTCAACAACATCAGAAAAATAAGATTTTTGCGTAAGGCTCACACACTTTTGCTCTTGGTGATTTCGCACTGGGCGGGCGACGGTGGCATTCTTCCTGTGGGGATTACACAATGAAATATATTTCCCTTTCGTATCTTTCTCTCCTATTTTCACGTACACTCGTCAACGACAGTTATCTCTTTCACTCTTGTCTGCTAGTAATGTTCAACTCGCTAAATATAACTCTGCGATGCCACAGATCCAAGCGAAACGATAAATCACGATGCGACTGCGCGGAGAAAAATTCCTCTAATTTGTGCGAGCACCCTCTTGACTTTTCGTGAGAAAAAAGTTATCTCAAATGCAGAGACGAAAAATAAACATTAGATCGGAGTAGCTATGGACCTGTTGAAGTCTCGAGAACTCGCGAAAAAAATTTATTGAAACAACAATGAAAAACTTGCAAGATAAAAAAGGAATACTAGGGAATAATTATCGTTTTTTATTGGAAATAAAATGTCTATGAAATATTTGAAAACTTTTTTGGATCAATTTGCTCTTTTTTATGACCAGGAAGAGAGAGATACGAAAATACACTTAAATAAAATAATGTAATTTTATATCAAAATAATAATTTATTAATTTAATCACAGCAATTAAAAATACATTTTTAAATGCAGGGGAAAGGAGGGTAAAGTAGAATAAGGAGGCAAAGTAAAACGTTTGAGAAAATGTACTAATTTATTAAAATAAGTTTAAAATCACTTATTGCATGTTTTACTTATTAATTATTCAATTTATTAATATATTTAAAACTATTAAAATTTTTTAATATATTAGTTACTTTGTTGATTTTCGTTTTTCTTGGTGCTCTACTTTACCTCACCTCCCCCTAATTAAATTATATATTTATTTTAATTGTTCCAAAAATTAATATTATCATGATTAAATAATAATTATTATTCTATCAATAAAATAAACAAAGTTAATTAGATATGAAATCTTATATACAATGCTCTAGATGAATGTTTCAAAGATAAATATTAGTGGCAACAGGTAATTACATCACCTAAAGCACAGTTATTGTTTACATCAACATTAGTCTGGAGTTGATGAGGGAATTTTTGGACAAAGAAGCCAATAAAATAGATATAAAGCAAGTGTAATGTGTCAATGGACCTGTTGGCATGTTCTTTGGGCATAGGTTCCTAAGAAAAATATTGGGTGAAAAGTCCAAAAGCTGGAAAATACGAGGAGGTGATGATCAAGCCGGAGGCAAAGAAATAAGGTCGAGAGTAGCAGACGAAGTAGAGTCTATCTCGCTTTTTCTTTGTGGATCTCAGGCGTTTTTAGACCATATATCACCCGTGGACCTCAAAAGAGTGTCGAGTATCTTCAACGATACACTGGAGTCCACGTGCTATCTGCAAGCGCAAACATTGTGCTTATTTAAAGCCAGTATCTCACCCACAGTATCGTTAAGTCAGTGAGCTTTACGATAAAAGCTTTAGAGTAGCTTTCCAACTGTGACAAGAAAAAGAAAAATACAATAAATAAAATTAAGTAGAAAATAAAAGACTTTTTAGGATTCCCCATCTGATCTTGCGTGTCGGTCGCGTGCCTGTCACGCCGTGCTTCCAAGAGGTCCATTAAAAATCGTTAAAATTCCCCTCTTTTACAAATTTAAACGCGTAAACGCATCACTCGATATTTAGGTGAAGTGTTGATTTCCTTTTTCTTCAAATATTACAGTTATAAAAAAAATTATTTCCTTTCAGTAAATTGAGGGGAGATTGGAGCAACATAGGGACACTAACAAATGATGTTTACTTCAATGCTTTTAATAACACATTTTTATAGCCCTCTACTAGAGGAAAAATTACATTTAAGAAATAAATGGAAAGCCGACAGAAAAAAATTTGCTATATGGAGCAGCCTTTTAATTTTTGGAGCACTCTATTTTACCTGGGGTACCCCATAGTGCCTTGGTTTACCTGGTTATTTAATAACTATTCGACAACAAATATAAATGTTTTGATTGTTTTGTATTAATAATTATTCTAATATTATTCATATATTGAGCATGATAAATTTTCACATAAATATTCATTGATAAATAATGTAAAACAACTCAATGTATCGATAGGAAATTGTTTATTTGATTAAATTTTATTTTTTTTGTGAAAAAGATATTAATTTTAATTTATTTTTGATCGATTTTTATTTTATTCATGTAGGATCCACTTGTCAGTGAAAATTTCAGTTGTTTTTACAAAAGATCATTAATAATCCTCTCCACACATTTTATCGACCTAAAAGCTCATCAATCAAATTCAAAATGAAGGTCCAAAAATTTATTTGAATAGCAATAAAGTAAATAAAAAACAGTATCTATCAAAATGCGGAACGTTTTACGAGTTTCATGAGACTATTACAATATTATAATGCTACACAGGTGGAACAATTTTAATCCTAGAGGATTTTAAAAAATTGTGCAATTTTTATCAAACAGATGGAGTCTGTCGGTCTCTTTATTGTGATCACTGATGGTCACAGAATATACTTCTGAATTTTATCACGTTCTAAGTTACGTCACGTACATATGAGAAAGACTCTTTTGACTTTTTTTCTCTAACTTTATTTTTTGTCAACAACGACCTAACGTTTTCGTTCATACAACTCTTTTTTCCAACCACCAGACGGAAATAGAAGAGTATGAAGCAGCAATCTCGCGACCACCACATAGAATTGAATCAAGAATTGAAAATAGAGTTGAAAAATGCCATTATCAAAAGAGTAATTTTCTATTCGATAAAGTCGATAAAGAGTGAACTTTACGATGGAAGTGTCTGCAAAAGAATATCTCACATGTTCCAATCAATAATTTCATCAAGTTACACACATTCTTGAAGAGAAACTTTGATTAAAAATTTTGCACCTCAAGCAAATCAGTTAAAAATTTCTTAAGAAGTTTATATCTTTTCAAAAAAAATTTTAAAATCGATAAAAATAGGGTAAAATAATTTTAATTAAAAAGTATCTTTTTGAAATGCTAATATATTTTTTTTACTATCACATGACGGAGTTCTAATCATACCATATATGGTGATGATTCACTAAAAATAGTATTTAGAGTCATCAGGAGAAAGAAGAAATAAAAAAAATAATAATATATAATTTAGAAATAATAAAATATATCAGTTTGTTTTACCTTCTTGTACCTTATATAAATCATTTTTTTATTATTTTAACGAAGCTTTTAAAGTCCTGTAACGAGGCCAATGATCTGTTGATTTATCGGTCACTTTAGTTATTCTAGAAACAAATCACATTTACGATATATTTTATTTTTTTAATAAAAAATTACCTTCGCCCACACTTTTCATTCGTTTTTTTCTCATTCTCTCATCTAACTTTCTTGGCTTTCAACAATCTATTTTTTACTCTGATGTTAAAAAATGATAATTTCATGTTTTGATCTTTTTTGTACTTAATAATTATTTATTTTTAAGTAGTAGACAAGATTTAATATCTATAACATTTTTTTTTCTTTTTATACACTAGTGTAGGAAGTTAATAAAATAAAATGAAAAATTTATATGAAAAAATAATGACTGAATATCCTCTAGCGATCATTATTATAAGTGTTGGAAATAATTTTCATCCGAAAGCCATAACACTTCAACCATGAGTAGGAGATATAATTTATATTGAGTGAGACATTTAATGGGGTCGACACATTATCCTTCTGGGTTTATGATGTTTGCCGGACGCGAGGCATGAATTGACGAAAACAAAAAATCGCGACATTCTGACGCCTTTTTATGATGACTAAATGCACATTGATTACGTTGTTACATCAAAATAATATTCATAAACATCCTGTCAACCTCATCATCATTATCATCATCATTAAATTTGAATTAATTATTCATTAAAAATAATTGAACAAATCTTTTTTTTTGTTAAATAAACTTATTACTCAAATTTAATATTAAATTGGATGAATAATAGATAAGCATCAAGATGAAATAAGAATACTCAGTGAATGTCAAAAAGATAAATAGAAATATTAGCAGTGAAAACAAGCTAGCATAAATTTATTGACTGATTTGTTGATGTTATCACAATATATTTTCTCAATTTATGAAGGTAGACTATAAAATGGTAGATTGCAGACTATTTAATAGTGACATAAATTGCAGTTGCTAACCACCGATAAATAGAATCATTAAGAGATATACCCAAGAATACAAAATATACTTGAGTTTGTCTTTAAAATAACTGTCACTCTTCCGAATAAATAGTCCATAATTGTGTATGTAGTAGAATGAGTACAAGTCCTAGGAATTCAAACTCAACAAAGTACGAAATCCCTCAACAAACTTGAGTAGACTTTGAGTTTCAAGTAGTTTAAATACCACAGAAATTAATGTTTTTCATGTAAAGATAACAAAGGTGAATAGCTAGGCAAACTATGTGTCACTTGACTGGCTCTAAATTGCTTCAATTTAAGATGAATGACAATGAAAAAGGTTTAATGTTCATTGTCAAGATATCTACTATTTTTTTTTTTGTACCTTTTTTCATTAATTATTTCCTAATGACACAGGCAAATTATTAACAAAATAATTAAAAATAAATTCAGCTTCAATAAAATATAGAACAGTGAATTAGAATTTTTTTTTTTTTAATTAATTGAAAAATGTGTAAAACGATGAATAATTGAATAAACCACAAAGAGAATTTATTGGATTTGGTTTATTTAAATTACATTCATACTAGATCCTGCACAAATTTAACCATTTTCTGTATGTTCCACACACGACGTACCGACGGAATCGAATGTAGAAGAGCTTAGCGAAGAGACTACTTCGAAGCAATTGCAATTCTGGAATAATCAGGTCGTAGTAAATTACTCGATAGAAGGCCAGAGTTCGGATTAGTCCAATGGAACTGTTACTCTTGTTTATATCGATCAAAAATGCAATCTATTCCATATGTCATTATTCAACACACTTATATCTGTTTCTGTGGATGACTAATTGAAGCAATTAATGAACTAGAAAAATCATTAATCTTATCCTCAGTAACTGAAGTAAAAAATCTAATGGGAAAAGTTTCATTAAGATTTGCCTAAGTATTTAATAATAATCATCATTTACATGACATCTTGATTCTTGATATTTTCTTAATTAATTTTATTCTGTAATTGCTAAAGAAATATAAGAAAATATATTAATTAATTTGATTGAAGAGAAAAAATTTTTTTGCTGAGTAAGAAGCTACTTTTTTTATTCACTTGATCAATCATTAAAACTCATTAGTTTATAATTCGATCAATAAAAAAAATTTATCATCAATTTTTCAGAATAGTGAATCAACACAGTACGTGACAGATAGACTACGTCAGTTCTCCGATCCATTGGCAAGGTTTCAACCGATAAATGGTGAGTAAAAGCATCATTTAATATTCAATATTTATTTAATTCTCATTAGCATAGAATTGGAGATGAAAAAAAAATGAAGAAAAATATACAGAGCTGATATTGACGTTTGCCTGCTTCTTGCACTTACATAGAAGAAGCTTCTATACTTTTTTTTCACTTCCCAACGTCTGTTATCGCTCCTTGACGAATATTGATGATGGCCTTCTTCATCCCTTTTCCTCTCAAACTTCCGTACGCTCTTCTGAATTTTCTACGGAAAATTTCTCATCGTTTTTTTTTCTTTCTCAGTCTTCTTCATTTTTGTACAGCATCTTACTCACGTTCCCATCTAATGACTCTAAAACTGAGCTTTTTTTTTGGATTTTTCGGTTTTAACGACCCTTTCAAAAAGTATATTAAACTAAATATTCTTTCATTCTAGTTGGTTTCTTTGTATTTGAAACACAAAAAAAAATAATAACTCTCCATGATACTTTTTAACTTCTGTCTCTTAAACACTACTGACATCTTAATGAAGCACGATTAATCAAATAATCTGTGGATATTAGGCGGAAATCCACTGAGAGCGACATTCTTGAGATTTCAATTAGTCTATTCCGAACATTCAAGGGTGAAACCAATGAGATTGGACTCGTTAATTGAATTAGAATCTCATCTCCTCTTATTATTGACTTTAATACCACATTTCGGTAAGTGGAAATTAAATATAATGCACAAACTTCCAAGACATCTTTGATTCAAGTTTGTCACCGAGTTTAAGATTCAATAATCTTCAAGTTTGTTCAAAGAAAATGTTTAATGACTGGAATGTAATTATTCAGAGTTTAATTGACAATAACCCATCATTAAGTTCTGGAATTGATGATAATTGAATTGTATTAAATAGTTTGAGATTCAATGTTTATTGTTATCATCATTAATAATAATAATAATAATACAAGATAAAAATAAATAGATATCTATTTGTGTTAAAGTTCTGCCAAATGATGTATTTTACTTACTGCAGTATATCAGCAAAATAATTTCATGCCACGTGCAGTTGTCCCAGCGCCCGGATCATGATCTTCTTTTTTGCCAAGTTGCCACTATCCTACACGTGGTCTCGTTCATGTCTACTGACAGGGTGGGAAAAAATAGTGAGCATCTGGTTATCAAAACTGCAAGGAGAAGCAAAAGTTTGGTGCATCTGGATGGTAATGCACAGGGTTACTGACCGTTTTTTGCACCCGACACTTTCCCACTGTTGTATTTTACGTACCCGTATTATTCATGTCTTCGATTGAAGTGGTTTTAGCTTTGTGCTTTCATTAAATACAAGACCAATCAATTTAACTGTTCAACTAGTTTCGTAAGATACTCAGGCGATACTCATTACAGTTCACTTGTGCTAGCAATCAAGTGGAAGGTGTATTGTTCCATAAAGTTTACTAAATTGGAAAATATGTTTTAATTGAAAGGAAGAAATTCAATGAAGAATCAGTGAGATGCAACGTAAAAATAATTGAAAAATATCATTATGATGTTGAATATTTTACACCTAGAAGTTCACATGGTTGGATTTTAATTTTATTGAGGTAAATCTTATTTAAGTGAAATCATGTTTGGACCTTTGTGCATAATAAATAAAGTCCTTCGTTAGTAGATAAGCTTGAGCTCTCTAGATTTTATGGATATCAAAATTACAATATGTTAGCTTGCAGTTTAATATGCAACGATGCATTGGGTGAAACGTTAAAGAGAAAAAGCTATAACGAATGTCAAACTAACTGAGACTGCTGGAAATAAATTTCACATCTTTATATTTTCCTATATTTTACATACTTGAAGATCTTTTCAATTTAAAATAAACATTTATTTAATTTAAAAAAAAATAAAACAATTAATTTAACATCGTTAATGTGTGATTATAAATCTAAAAACGTGACATTTCATTATAGATTGTAGTATATTTATCCAAGAATGAGTAAAAATAATGTATAAATTTGTTTAGAGCTTAATTCATTGATTCAAAAAGACATTCTGTTAAAATATTTTCTTTCCTGTTACATTGTAGAGTATTTTTAAGTAGATTAATGCTGGACATGAGACGGAGCATTAAGCAGATCGGTATTAATGAGTTTTGTCACCCCCGAGTGGCACTCAGTTCCTATTTGGTTACACTCATCCGTCTATAGATAGCCCACCCGTGAGTTCTACTCGGTCCTCTCTCTTTTCTCCTCTCCCCAATGAGAAATATATGTACTCTGGATAATCCACCTTAAAAACAAAACGGCTCCTCATGTCAGTAATTTATCTGCATTTATTTTCATTTATAAATTTTTTTTTTCTATCGTCTCAACTCTTGCAAGTTTTACATGAAAACTGATAAATTAATTGTAATCTCTTGAGAGTAAAGTTATTCATAACAATATTTTACAACTCTCTGTTTTATATTTCTTTTCTTCAATATTACATCAACAAGGGAAATATGCAAGCTTTTTAACCACATGGTTAGCAAGGTATATACCATTGGATAAATAATTATTCGTAATATAACCCAACACTAGGGAGTTTTTGGCCTGATTTCCCTAACTTGGCAGTGAAAAATCATAAACTTGCATTATTTTATTTTATTCCTTGTTTCCTGTGGTTTACATTGCTGTTATCATTCCATAACATTGATAAATTAAAGTCATAAATATTCACCAGGTAATTAAAAAAATTTCTCAATTAAACATATCTCGGAATAATTTAATTAATTCAACCACACAAAAAAATGATAAATTTAAATAACAAAAATTTTTTATTCAAGTATTAATAAAGAAATATGGTTGGAGTATTAAAAAGCTTAAATATATCCTGGTGAGATGTAGATAAAAATAAAAAAAGACCAAGAAAAATCAATTACCTCAGTATAATGAATGAAAAAGATATTACATGACTAAAAGTTAAATATAACCTACGTGATCAGAATCTAGAAATTCCTACAAAAGTGATAGTCAAAAGAAACAAATAAAAAGAGCGATTAAGAGTGTGGGAAGGAGAGAAGATATCATCTAAGAAAGCCGTCGGATTATTGCTTCACGCTACGTTAACCAACGTCGTATATAACATACCCTTAGTATCTCATAAACTGATATAAAAGAACATAATTAAACTACTCCTATGACATTGGTCAATATCGACCTAAAACTTATCATTAATCATGATCAATAATAATCACTATTTATTCCCCATCTTAGTAAATATTTATTGATGGCCAATTGATTATCTCCAAAATTCTTTCTTAAAAGCTCTGAAATCATTTTTTTCAATTCGAGATCTAACTCTCCCCATAATTTGATTAATTCTGTCATTATTTTAGTAAGTGTAGGACTTATTTATTAATTAATTAGTTTAATCAATAACTGATAATTTATTGGATTACATTGAATTTAATTTCATGTAATAAATGCAGATAAATGAAATTGAAGATCGAAAAATTGATCACTTTAAAAATAGAATAAAACAAGCAATTTCTCGCTCGTGTAAACAATGTCGATCGAATTATTGCACGATAACGAGTGAGCAATTCGTTGGGTGATAATAAATTACACTTTTATTTCCATTAAACTCCAAAACATCATCAGAGATAGTAGGAAATTTGAAAGCAAAATGTAAAGAGGATGGCAACAAAGCTAAATAAATAGTATACCTAACTCTAACATACTCAATGCATTTACGAAATTTATAGACGTGTGATAAATAGAGCTAGCATAGTCTAAGATGTGATAGAACTTAATACTAACCACAGGGACTAATTTCCAGTATTTACAACTCTAGAAAACTAATTTTCGTATATTTACACAGCCTTGTGAAAGTTACGAGTATAGTAAATAAAGTCACCTTACACTCTTTGAATTACGCAGTCGTTAAACTATGGTTAACAACCCCTCTCCTTTGTTACTCTCACCTAACTCAGATATTAACTCATAACGCAAAAGTTAAAAGCTCGCATTAATCTGTTAAAATTACCAAAGTTTTGCATTATTGATGGTTTATATATAATGTTTATCGTCAGACATTGTGTTTTGAATTATTATTTTCAGTTTACAACACGGAGAGAATTTTTTTATTAAATATAAATACAAAAAGTGACACCTCCACATTTCGAAGTTTAGAAGTAAAAATATTATTATTTTATAGTAAATTTTGAGTTCTTGTAAGTTAATTTGATACTTAAGAGGTGTCTTGGTAGAATAATTACTTACGACAACCCAAAACTCACTGTTGATCAGAAGTATTTTTATTCCCAAACTTCGAAATGTGGACTTGTCACTTTTTGCACTTACTTTTAATAAAAAAATTCTCTCCGTGTAATCTGTTTTTTTAAAAGAGTTTTTATTTAATACTAGACATTTTTATTTAAATATATTTTTAGTGACATATTAATTTTTTTGGAGCGAATAAAAATGAAGAATAAATAATTAATTGGCAATAAAAGTTTATTATTAGGAAACATCAGCAACGAGAGATCGTAAATTAGTTGATTTTATTCTGATTCATCGAGTGACCGATTATGTAATTTGTATTACATTTTGATATAATAAAAAAAATTGAACATCTTTAGTAGATTTATTTGTTAAATAAATTTATTGTTTGGCACACTTTCATCGTTAGGTTTATTTAGCATTCGCTTTTAGGCTATTTGATTTATTGGAATATTTTGTTGTCAAAAAAGTTCCATCACTTCATTGAGTCAAAAATAACTAGAAATAAATGATTATTAATGAAAATTTAACCTAAATGTGTTATTATTGTCTTATTTATTTACGTTATTTACTGATTCTTAATATAAAATCTTTGAACACTACAATAAATTACAACATTCAGGCAAACTCCAGCAACAAGAACGCCCTAAATTTCAGCTAAGAAATTAAAAGTATTGCAGCACTTGGTAAACTACATTAGATCACAAAACAGATTACGTTAGCAATCTTTGGAAAGTTCTTATTTTTCAACCGCAATCATTTTCAACTTTT